CTTCTTGCCAGTGGAACCTGTCTTGATGAGGCAGGAGCGTCCCAGGGACTGGTACCCACCGATGACCTCGATCTCCTCCACGGCAGGGTAGCGCTTCTTCAGCAGGGAACCCAGCTGGGCGTAGGGGGCCTGTGGTGGTATGGGGGGGGTCTGGGCCCCTCCGGAGGACTCCTGAGGCTCTGGAGAGCCAGGCTGAGGCTCTGACTTACGTTTAGGCACCACAGTGAATGTATTCCCCTTCCGTCCATGCACCACTGGAGTGGGACTGGGGGCGACGGGCTGCAAGGTGTCCACATCTATGTCATCTATGTTGGTGACAGGTAGCTGGTCAGCAGGGGCTTCCTCTGGAGGTGGCGACTGGACAGAGGGAACTGGGGAGGGTGCTAGGGATGGACAGGAGGGGGGCATGGTGGCGGTGGGTGGAGGTGGGTCTGGTTTGGTTGGCCTGGCTGCCCTCACCTCCTCTTTCCTCTTGGAGGCTGCTGGGGTGGGTGGAGGGGTGATGGGGGTTGGCACTCCTGGAGTGGGCATCTCTGCCACTCTCTGAGAAGGAGGAGACTTGATGGGGCTGGAGGGGGCCGTGCTGCCCGGGGAGGAGGCTGCTCCGTGGCGTTTGGGGAAGACGGTGAAGGAGTTGCGGGACTGGAGGCGCAGGTTGGCAAGGGCACGGGCCTGGATGTTCCCGGCAGGCAGCAGGGAGAGGTCAGGGCGGGGCGAGGGGCGGATCTCGAACCCTGGCGAGGGGGGAGACATCGGGGGTGTGGTGGGGCTGGCAGGGGACTCGGCACGGGCACAGCGGGTATCCGGAGAGCATGGCACCTTGGATTTGGGGGGCACCTCTGTGCTCTCCCAATCTCTCTCTCGGAAAGGCTTGGTCTGGGGACCCTCTGCCTCCTCTCTAGGGTTGACCACCACACTGCGTGCCCCACTCACTTCAAAACGCTGACGGTAGGAAGACACTGACTGAGGGGGTCCGGCAGAGCGCAGGGTGCTGTCAGGCTCATCAAGAGGGGGCTGTGGATTTGGTTTGGAAGACTGGGAGCTCTGGAAGACTGAGGATGATGACTGTGTGTTGCCTAGGGTGCGGACTGGTGAGCTAGGCTGGTCGTGTAATTTGTATTTTGGCACCAGATCTGGCTGTGGCTTGGATCGTTGTCTTGGCCTGCTTGAACTGGTCTCCAAGTCCAGTAGGTTCTCTGTGCTGCGAGACTTGGGTTGCAGTTTTCCATAGTTGCTGTCAAATTTCTGCAGCATGCGGCTCACCCTGCCCTGACCCACTCCTGTCTCAAATGTGCCCTCATGACAAGGACGACCCAGCGTGCTCAAGTTCTCCTCGCTCCTGCTTAGTGTGGTGTCATAAATGACCACCTCCTTTGCCCTTATCTCAGTCACCCCACCTGCTCTCCTGTCCAAGAGGTCATTGAGGGAGCTGTAACTGCTCACCCCATTCTGCTGCAGATAAGACCCACTTTTTATTCCACTGGCCTCCGGAAAGTAATCCGGATCGGATTCTATGATAATGATATTCTCAGCTCGTATAGTCCGAATTCCGGGAACACTGCCATACAATTCCAGTATGTGCTGAACGGGACGAATGGCACACTCCCTGTCCAGTCGTTTCTTTCGCTCCTTCTCCAGTTTGATGAAGGGGTTCTCCTGCAACGGGCCTAGACTGTCCTGCAGAACCAGGCTTTCCTGTCCCTCTCCATCCCTTACCGTTTTCTCCGAGTCATAAGGTTCGGTGGCAGTCCAGGGATCTTTGTTTGTTTTCACCGGCGAGAGCTCTGGGGAGGTGGGGGAGCTGCCCCGCTTGCCTGCAAAGTGCTGGCTCGCTGGAGTGATGGTGTAGTTCCGAGCTGAATTAGTGCTGGTTTCATTGTCTTTTTTGGAGGCGCTGCTGTTTCCCGTTACTTCGCCATTAACCCGCGATGAGCTCGCGCTAGGGCAAGGCTCAGCTGCTCCTGCTCCAGACCCGCCACCCTTTGCTTTCCTCCGCTCCAGAATCTCTCGTTTCCAGGCCGGCATCGTCGGGCTCTCCTGCCCAGCCTCCTGGCGGAGAACACGGACTTCTCCTCCACCAGACATTGTGGGGAAAAATGTAATGTATCCGGGATTTGGGAGATGGTGTTCCCCGACTGGGCCAGAAAGCTTTATGTCGCTGTACCTGCAGCGCGGATTATCGCATTTACACATACATCCCCACGGTATCTTTCCGTCTTTCTACGTTCTTCCTCCTCAGTCTGCGACTCCTGCCCCGCCCTCCGCACCTGTAAATCTATAACGTCATCCTTCAGTCTTCAGAACTACGCCCCAAAAAGCAACCTCATTTGGTGATATCGATTTGGAATACACCCCCTTTTCACACAGAGCACCACCCACCAAGGGAAATCCCTCCTCTTTCTATTGTTGAGTAACTAAAGAGGGACTGTCAGTCAAGGAAACTCAGCTCAGCCCCCCTTTTGCGGTTTAACCCCTTCAGTGAATAAATTGAAATATTTTATCGACCCCTCAATTGTTTGTTTTTTAAATAATAACATTATGCATTTCATTTTCAATTTAATTCATGACCTAAACATGGAAGGTATACCATTAAATGGTTTTAACAGATTAAAGCCAATTCAAAGATTGTGTGTGGAGCAGAGGAAATTGTCGACCATCCGTGCCCGTGTATGATGTCACTCGTTTGTTACGCTAGGTGTAGACTTTGCTGTAAGCAAAGCATCCTATGGAATATCGACCTATGAAGAAGTTAGAGCTATTCGTAGGAGATCTATTCAGCAGGAGGGTCGATGATACCGCCAGACAAATAATCCTGCTGAGATAAATATATTAGAAAATAAATTAGACGGTATTACAGAGGTCTATTCTGGGTAGGCTATAACTATTGTTCTTCATCAAAAATGTATCAATGCACTGTCACCACGAGCTGTGAATCCCAATGAGCCACTTGACATACAGACACTGAAGAAAACAGTGTGTTCTATGGAGCAGTCTAAGTTAGTCATAAATTATGTAATAGAATGATTTGTAAAATTCATCCTATATGCAATGTTGTTAATATATATATATATTAAAATCTGGGTTGTGCCGAGAACGAAACAAACAGACAGAGGGTGCAGTTACATATTTAAAACTGTTCCGTTGAAGTTTTTAAAACGTCAAACTGTATTCTGTATTGGATATGCTCTTTGGTCCTTGCTGTTGCCTTGCCAGCACTCTAAATAAAATTGTGTTAGATATATGATAATTCATTTGGTCAAGCTATGCCTACTACTATTCTACTAGTTGTTTCTGGAAAACTTTAGATGGAATCCTGTGGGACTATTGGTGAGTGGATCATATTGGATTCTCTCACCTTTATCCATGTAATAACAGGAAAGCAAGAGATTAGTGCTTGATGGGCCTAAAATGGTCAAACAGGTCAAAATTCTTTTTATTTTCCAAAATGAAGCTTATGCAGCCTTAGCCATGATATTAGCGATTATGACTTTTCCTTCCATGAACTCACTCCCATGTGAACTTTGCTTTTATTACTTGAATGGCCTTGCCAATGTTGGCTTGGACATCGGAAATTGAGTAGGTCACCACGACCATCTTCGATGTCAATAGCGACACCTTGTGGCCATATTTCATCATCACAAGAGATAACAGTGGACGTACCAAAGACCCAAGTCTAAGTCTACATGGAACATAACGTCATTGAGTCAGTTCAGAATTGACCAAAAGATGGCTGATTAATGTTTCATAGATTTCTGATGAGATTAAATAATATTACATGATCAAATTTACCAGCTTAAATGTTTATTTACACATATATACAAACAACAAGGGTCCCAAAAACGAGCAAATAAGAAAAGGAGAAACACAAAAAAAGCTGGTGACAGTCTAACCAAATTCAAAATACATTACTTAAATTGTCAAATGTCCCTCCCAGCACCACATTTCACGTTAAACATTAAATTACACTTTGAAGTATAAAATGAGGCCATGAAAGCATGCTTGAACAAGAGGATCATAACACAGATCAAATATGATACATTTTATCCACAGGTAGCAATGTTCATGGGAGAGCCATGCAGACAAAGCGCATGGAAACACATTGTCACACTGTCCTCAGATGAGGTCAGAAACAGAGGGGAAGCCCATGACCCTAATCTCCAGCCATTATTCAGAGTATTTAACAATAGTCTGTTAATTAAAACAACACCCCTGCATCGATGTGGCCCAGAATGCATGTGTTGTTATGAGAGCTAGCATCAATGGTGGAGTTCGTTTCGAATGGCCCGGTGCCCAAGGTGGTTTGGAGATTTCACTTAAAGACCAATGCAATGGGGCACCGGGCCATACAAAACGAACTCTACCATTGACAAGAAGCTGCCATGTGGGGAATCGTAGGTGGCTCGTTTCAGCTTCTTGTATCTTTTTATTGATACCATGTCTTGTTTTCGCTAGCTAGCTAACCAACAACTGTAACAATGTATTTGTGAGACAAGAAGTTCTCATTGTGCAAATGTATTTATGTTTTCAATAAACATTGAGACGAAATATAGTTTACATGTTGTCAACAATCTAAGCCAGGGATGGGGAACTTTGGGGGCCACAAAAAATCTGAACTCATCATGAGGGGCCACAGTGGATCTGGGTCTAGGTCCAAAGCGTCTGCTAAATGGCATTTATTATTAAGTGTGTACCTACATGCAATCAGAGCCAGCCCTAGCCTTTTGGGGGCCCTAAGGGAAATGTTGATGCCCCCCAACTTCCCAGCAAAACGTGACAGCGGAAAGAATAATATGCAGTTTTACAGCTAATTTCCTGCAATTCTACACATTTTGCCATAGGGTGGAGAGAAATGTTTGCAGTTTTTAAATGATATCTGAGTGAGAGTGACTAACAAAATCAATGGGGTGCCCCTGGTTGGTAATTTGACCATGATTGCCACAAGTTTAGATAGCTGGCAAGGCTAATTTACAAATCTAAAACATTTTAACTGACATGGGCTAATTGAGTGACTGTCAGTGACTGACGTAACATGAGAAAAACTGCTGATACACAACCAAATTTACCCATCACTGATCTAAGCCAACCCTGTCTCTATTGCCCCATAGTTGTGCACGTGTCGATTTTGTTGCTAAACAAAACCGCCCCTGGCCTCAGTTGACGCGGCAGGCGCGAATCATCAGCAGCTGCAGGAGGATGAAGAGTGGCGAGACAATGAGTCCGAACCACAGGTCGCGCGCCTGCTCCTGCTCTGCTAGCTTCTGGCACAGCAGCACCTCACACACCAGCTTGAGGCTGAGTACCGTCAGCACCCACAGCAGCCTCAGCACTGCCAGCCTTTTCTCATTCTCCTGGTACAGCCGGATGGACACGATGGCTGTGAAGTAGGTGCTGAGGCCATCAGCGGCAAACAGAGGGATGAAGACCAGCCACCAGCTCATGCTGGGGTCGAAGAGGTCGGCACGCAGCGCTACCAGCACGCTGAAGACCAGTAGAGCCCCCAGGTGGAGGAAGAGCTCAAAAGTGGCAAAGCCCAGCCATTGGACCAGCTCCCGCAAAGAGAACAGCATGGCCTTAGGGTGGAGGAAGTAGAGGCAGGTGGACTGTTCAACCAGGGATGAACTGGGGTATAGTCACTGGTTCGACTCAGGAGAGGTGATGTTCCAGACTCAGGGTGGTAAAGTGTGAAGGAAAGGAGACATGGAGGTCTGGGCAGGAATCCACAGAAGGCAATAGGGAATGGCCCTCTACGACGAACTGCTGCACAGACGATAAAACTCAGCTACATCATTGAAGACAGTGGGGGGCAGAGAGGACAGAATACTGTGAGCCAGTGAAGAGCTTCACATGTGGAGGATGTCTTCAAGGAATTAAGGTGTTCTGCCTTTATTTAGAAACAGAGATATTTTATTCAGAGCATGACAACAACATTTCACTTACATTTATTTAAAATGGACATACACTGTAAACCTAAACAAAGTGACAGTAATAACGATATTTACTTAAGTTCCCTTTTACCAGGTTACATTGCAACAAGCGTGAAGTCGGTTGAAACAAATGTAACAAAAGTTGCAAACATTGTTACAATCTCAATCTGTAACGTTTGTCTAGACGAAACGGAAATTGATGCGTCGTTCAGAAATACAATGTATCGAGGGTAGTGGTGAGAGTTGAAATCGCTTGCCAGGTAACGTTAGCTGGCTACATTCATGGATGTAACTGACAACAACAGCTCACAAACGAATAACGTAATAGCTGTCTAGTAGTTAACCGATCAAATGCTGTATTGTCAGATTTTTCGGCTAACTAATGTTAGCTGAGATACAGTCAGACAGTGCTAGCACAATTAGCTAGCTAGCTATCTACAGTATCTCGTAGCCCTTCTTCATCTCATACTAGCTAGCTACCATCACCACATGCAGCTATTTCTCATTCTTTGCATGTGTCAAATGATAGGGGTTATTGTATGGTTTTACCTTAATTCATTAAGTTCCGATTCAAGTCAGCCTTTTCGTAATGTTTTCCATCCTTCACTGAGATAGTGTACGATCGCGAGAACTTGTACGTTCACGGAATTTACGGTGGCCGGTTAGTGCATGAGACTAGTGCAAGCTTATGAGACTAGCGCAAGCCAAGGAGCAAGGACGTACTGTACAAGGTAAGAACACTAACATTCATTCATTTATTTATTTTAGTAAAGTTAACCTTGTTGTATGTTAGTTTATGCTGATAAATTACGTTTTGGATTTTGCAAGGTCAACAAGTTATACATCTGCGGAATATGAGCAGGAGGAGTTGCAAGTGTGCTTGCTATAGTCGTGTTGTGTAAGGAACTGGCCAGTTTGAGAGCACATTATTCTTGATAGAAGAAGTTGAAGTTAGCTTTCTGTCATTACATTTAATTGTTTTAAAACTATTGTTTTATAACAGATTTAGCTTAATTGATTAATCAGCACTAATAGTAGGTGTTAGTTGTATGTCATAAAGCACAATATTGTAAGCTTGCTTGCTAAATCAGGCATTTACCTAACGTTGTATTTTTATTTGATCAAACGCGCATTTTCTTTGTCAGGTAACGCTCTACAAGTCTCCAGCTGTGAACTTTTTATGTCAGATGTCAAAGCATGCATTTTTCTTCTCTGGTCCGCGTGCTTATGGATAGGTCCTAAGGAAATAGGAATTATCCACGGACCTTCTCTGGTCACCCATTTGATTCGAATATAATTACCAGGTTATTTGAATAAAATCAGCCATTTTAATATAGATGTAGACCTTTAATGTTAATAATCTTGAAATTATAGAATTAAACGGATCTGGGATGTGCTTTCATAAATGTGAGCAATTACTCTTGCTCCAGCTGTGTGTGAACCAGCATTATCACTGCTGTCACTCAGGGTCATCCAATTGTTTAGTTTAAGTCGGGTTTCACGCATGCTTGGTCAGTGAATGTGTAAACCATTCTCTCATTCCAATGCGTCTCAGAAATGTGGGGGTGAATAAAGGTGCCATTGTCAAACACCTCTCTTCCTCTCTCTTTCTCAGGGCAAAGATGCAGCCGGTCGAGTCTCTCCTCCACAGTGGCTATTTCCACCCAACTCTCAGATACTGGCAGACCTGTGCCTCCGACTTGAGACCTGAGAACCTCATCTACCCCATCTTCGTCACGTAATGTCTCTCCTCTACCACATAGAGACTAGGATGCCTTGATGTTGTGATACAAATGACAAATGTGACCGACTTACCTGGTTAAATAAAAGAAATAAATAAATACAATCAGGGGTAAAGTGGCTGAGCAGCAGGATAAAAAAATAAATAGTAGCAGCAATGTATGGCGTGTGTGTTAGGAGAGAGTCATGTGAATAGAGGCACAACAGATAGTGCTGATGACTGGGAACTCGCCCCCAGTGATGAACTGGTCCGTCCAAACCACGTATGAACAAGGGAATCTATATTCGGAGAGCCTGTTTCTGTCCTGCCCTTGACTTTGGTGCAGGGCATGTGATGTCCATAGCCCTTTCGTCGCAAAACTCCCTGATCTTTTCAAAAATATAAGTTTGTCTAGCTGTGTCCAGTCCAGGTGGTGCTTGTACAGGCAGACCATCTATGGGAGGAAGGATGTCAGCGTTGCGCAGCAGCTGAAACCTGGTCCCGACTGAGTCCGAACGCTCCTTGGCGACAACACCAGGCTCCAGAGCATCAAAGCTGTAAAACAGTAAATACAGTTTAGAAGACATTCAAACTTGCATAACATCAATTAATCTCCCAAGTTTAGATAAGAAGAATAACCTCATACAAAGCAATGAAAATGATATTCACCTGAAGTGCTGGTACTGCTTGATCTGTGGCAGCGGCCTGAAGTACGGAGTCAGGTGTTGTTGCCAGCCATAGCGTTCCACCAGCACCGTACCGTCCTCCAGTCCAATCAGCTGTGGGATGTTGACCCCTGTCACAGTGCTGTCCTTCACAACGCCAGCAATCTCGGACAAAGTGTTCACTCTGGTCTTTCTGAAGCGCTGCTTGATGAGGCCGAAGCACCAGTCGGGGCAAACTTGGTTTGGCCTGTGATCAGGAAGTGAAGGTCCAGACTGTGGTGGAGCTTGTGCATGGTCCGCCAGGCACAAACTTGTTCTTGTTTGGGCCACTGCAGTTATCACAATTCACAACACGTGTTTTCCCAACTCCGTAGTTGGTGAAGAAATGGTGCATGTAGTTGATGACTGTGCTGCTGCCTTTGCTGGATGACATGCCTTCTTCAATCAAGTAGTTGACTTGTGGTATTCCTTCACAGCAGACACCAAACAAGCCATACTTGCGAGGAGTTAAAAAGTAGATGGGTCCTGGCTGCATAGGGTCAGAAGGATTATACATTTCCTTTAACTTGCAATGAAAACAACTTTCTGACAAAATTTGAAACGTGTAATATCTGAATCTGTAGCTAGACCCGTATACATGGATGAACGCTTCACAGCAGACTGCAAACCCTTTCATTAAATAAGACGTCCTATGTCGTTTCCGTTTTGTTTGTACAGCTTGCTTGGCCCATTGTGTCAAGTCACTCTGGTTCACATCGTCTGATTCATTTTCACAGTCAAAGAGAGTCAGCATGGTACGATCGTCCTCCTGAAAGTAGTCCATCACAACTTTTTCCCACTGACCTTTGTCGATAGCGCTTGATAAATTCAGGGCATCAATGTTATTGAGAGCAGTAGCAACACATTTGCAGTTCTCCATGGCTAACGTTATCTTTCGGAAAAAAAACTGCAGTAGAAAGGATTATCTACACATAACGAGCAGCTCATTTTATAGACAGAAGATGCTACACGGCAGACCAATCCGAAACTCATCTTTCGGCATGTCCAGCCCGTTCATTATCTCAGCCAATCATTGCTAGAGGGAAAGTTCCTGTATTTCTGTGGCTAAACCAGCTAGGCTTGTAATTTAACAACTTTATTCATATTTACAGATGGCATACAAGTTTGTTATTAAGGCACATGAAAGTTCAAATGTTCAAGAAGGCATTTCTGCCCAAAAACGTATTTTGATAAAAATAAATGTTAAAATGCCTCACCTGTTAAATCGTGACTTGCGACATACTAGTCACAAATGTCAAAGTCAGGTAAACTGTATATATTTGGGTGGCTATGTGTTTTTGTAACACGCCAGCTTTCTGGTTCTTTTCTCCAACAGTGACAGTCCTGATGCTGTGGAGCCCATCGCTAGTCTACCTGGCCAGGCCAGGTAATGACTCCAGATTACCTGTTCATTTGGTTGATAATCTCATCTATGGTAATTGCTCATCTACGCTGGGTACGGTAGTTGAATAGCCACAATGCGCTGTTAATGTATCATGTTTTGTAATCATATTTTAAAAACATATGACTTTGAAACAAAAATACTTTAAATGAGAATTATCATGGCTGAGTGAGAATGAGCGAGGGATGGGACCATTGAGAGCAAGGCTGTGACCTCCAGATAAATACTGTGAGGCAGGGTGGATCCAGAGCCAACAACTGGGCCAAGATAAGAAGAGAATCCGTTAGCTTTTTGTCCCTCACAACCCTCCCTTCTCATGCACCATTTGGTTACAATAAAATAGGCTGTAAACCAATACTGAGCCCTAAGGTACTATTATGTGTCAGAGTTGAAACTATAGACACAGTATTTATCTGTGGTCCTCTGTAGCTCAACTGGTAGAGCACGGCGCTTGAAACGCCAAGGTAGTGGGTTCGAGCCCCGGGACCACCCATACACAAAAATGTATGCACGCATGACTGTAAGTCGCTTTGGATAAAAGCGTCTGCTAAATGGCATATTATTATTATTATATTTATCTCACTTACTAAGACTGATTTGGTTTGTTGACCAAAACAAACATGATTTTAGGCTATGGAGATCAAATACATCACAATGCATTGCTAATGAAGTGCCACTATGTAATTCCTTGCCTCAAAGTTGTATTGAAATAGCACTTTGTAGTTTGTCCACTCCCTGTCTCCCTCAATGTCTTTTTTCTTTTTTTCCCTCTCAGATATGGAGTGAATAAACTGGAGGGCATGCTTCGCCCCCTTGTGGAGAAGGGCTTGAAGTGTGTGCTGATTTTCGGAGTGCCTGCGAAAATCGCTAAGGTACCAGTAAACTATACTGAACAAAAATATAAACGCAACATGTAAAGTGTTGGTCCCATGTTTCATGAGCTGAAATAAAAGATCCCAGAAATGTTCCATTTGCACAAAAACCTTATTTATCCGATTTTGTGCACAAATGTGTTTACATCCCTGTTAGTGAGCATTTCTCATTTGCCAAGATAATCCATCCACCTGACAGGTATGGCATATCAAGAAGCTGTTTAAACAGCATGATCATTACACAGGTGCACCTTGTGCTGGGGACAATAAAAGGACACTCTAAAATGTGCAGTTTTGTCGCAACACAATGCCACAGATGTCTAAAGTTTTCAGGGAGCATGCAATTGGCATGCTGACTGCAGGAATGTCTACCAGAGCTGTTGCCAGATAATTGAATGTTAATTTCTCTATCATAAGCTGCCTCCAACGTAATTTGAGAGTATTTGGGAGAACGTCCAACCGGCCTCACAACCGCAGACCTCGTGTAACCACACCAGCCCAGGACCTCCACATCCGTCTTTTTCACCTGCGGTATCGTCTGAGACCGGCCACGAATGCTTCTAATCAAAATAGTCACCTTACTTTGATCCTTAAAACCTAAATCGATACTGTCATTAACTTAGTTCTTCAATAATTATGCATAATACTTGTTGGATCCGCATTTGGTGTCCAGTTGATTGTTACACCAGTGTAATTTTCACACATCATCTGATCCAGGAAGGACTTTTCCTAATGACAGTCAAGTGATGAACAGCTGTTGTGATAGTGTATGCGATGCAACAACAGCCCAAGTGTGGGGGAAAAAAGGTGTTCACGAGGAATGTCCAGAATATTTTGGTGTCTCATTCGTTACGCTGGTGAAGACAGTTGTGCCTGGATCCAAGTTGGATCTAATTTCCCTAGCGAATTGATGTTGATCATCTGTTGTTGTCTGCTTGATTAACAGCAGGGTCTCGTTTGATTTAAAAGAGACAGCATTAAGGTAATGAGTTTATGTTTTTGTGCCTCGGATTGGACAGAGAGTCTACTGTGCGCAATTATGTAGGATATTCTCGATATAATGACAAATGACATAGCCTAGTGGTCTTATTCACAATATGATCAGGTAATGAAATAACATGAAAAATACATTTTGTTTTCCATGTTACACCTGCAATTTTATACAATACAAGGGGCTTGAAGTTGGTGCTCAGAAATTCAAGTACTGGAATACGCCTACCTTGAACATAAGACATTTCCTCAATTTGGTGCGTGAAAAGTCCTAATTATTGTAGCCAATTTATAGGTTCTCCTGCTTCCTTATAATTATCTGTGATTTCATTTTTGATCGGTTTTTGTGAGAGATGGGGCCACTTTCGTTTGTTTCCAGCCGCTTCAATGGAAGGGTGTTGGGCTTCTCTGTTGCGGTAAATCCATGTGCGGTTATAATGAGGATGAGGATTATTGACTTCAACTTGGCTTTCCATACAAATCCTTCAATTAAAAAAGGAACCTGGTTTTTGGTCACTTTGTCATTATAAAAACAGCGATGGTGAGATTCAAATGGTGAGATTAATGCTACAGCTACTCATGGCTTTATTATGTGTGCCTGCGTCAGCCACATAGGCTACAGAAAAATCACCATGCATGCATCCAAACTATTTAGTCAGGCAATGGCCACATTATTCTCACATTTGCATAGGCAAGGCCTACATTTTATTATTCTTAAAGTGTTAATGGACTACTGTTTTGACACTTTTTGCATGCTGTTTGGGGGGGTTCTATATTAGGCCCTGCATGTACAATTATATAAAATATACAGTTGTGTAACATTGAAAAAGTCCCTGAAAGTCATTGAATTTGACTTGCCAATGTATGAACCCTGCTTAAAGGATGTATAGTCCTAGGCCAATGTTGTTGTTGTATAGGGGGAGTTATGGGTCAATTTGCATATATTCACTTTTATTCCTCTAAGTACACATGTGGAACTGCATGAAAATCATATATATATTTTTTAACCATTTTGAAATGTTGATCCTGATGTCACACATTGGTCCTATTTATTTATAGAAAGACCCATACAGATGTATGATCTTAATTTGATCACTTTTGTTGTTGAGAATGTTCCTGCACAGCAGGAAATGCAAACTTGTAGTGTATTCAAGGTTTTAAAAGTCTTCTTAAGTTAGTCATTTCCACTTTTCACAATTTCAGACTTGATTTGCCCTAATATAAAATGTATCAACCCCTACAATAAATGTCAATTAATTATAATCCACATAATAATTCACATTTCCTGTTGCTGCAGGATTATTTTCCTGCTGCAGGATTATTTTCCTGCTGTAGCAAACTGGCTCAATTTAAGATTTTACAATCTGTATGCACTTGTAAACTTGGTATGTCTTTAAAAGGCTGACGCCAGTTTTCTTGCACACCTTGTCATCCTCTCAGGATGAGAGAGGTTCGGGTGCAGACACAGACGATACTCCGGCAGTGTTGGCTGTGAAGCAGATAAAGTCTATTTTCCCTGACCTGCTGTTGGCCTGCGACGTCTGCCTCTGTCCCTACACCTCACATGGACACTGTGGTCAGTCACTCTCTATCACATTCCATTAGTCTAAAACTAATGCAAATATAATTTCTTTTGATCGACAGTACAGTGTTATAAGACTGCCCTCTGATTCTCCCTCAGGAATCTTGCGAGTGGATGGCACTCTGGACAATGGTGCCAGTTGCCAGCGTCTGGCAGAAGTGGCATTGGCCTATGCCCGCGCTGGTGAGTCTGGTCACTCCTCACCCCTCTGTTTTCTACTCTCACGTCTAAAAAATAGTGTTTATCAATACCAATGTTGATATTCTTTATGGGGCCTTACACCCATGTCAATAGTTTAAGATCTCTTGTTCGTCTCGTACAGGCTGTCACATCATTGCACCCTCTGATATGATGGATGGGCGAGTGGGAGCCATCAAACAATCACTGATGTCCAATGACATGGGCAACAAGGTAACAGCTGGGAGCACTAGTTTGTACATAAAAATATAACACATTCATATGGACTCAATAAGGAAAGGAAAACTTGCTGTAAGGAAATCCTCAGTAAGGAAGCCATTTGCTATAAGGCAGAATTTCCTGAAAGAAAATGTCCAAGAAAATAAATGTATTTCCTCCTTCTCCTCAGGTGTCAGTGCTGAGCTACAGTGCCAAGTTTGCTTCCTGTTACTATGGTCCCTTCAGGTAACAATTGATTGTAAAACTTAAGATGGACAGAAAAGGCATTACTTACGCATCACCATTTGACAGGATGTTCGAAGATCTATTATTCTTTTTGTGTGTAGAGATGCAGCACAATCCAAGCCAGCATTTGGAGACAGGCGCTGTTATCAGCTGCCCTCCGGTGCAAGGGGCCTGGCACTACGAGCTGTGGTAAGAAAGTGTCTGAAGTGCATCCATGTGTATTAGGGGGAGAGAGAGTGTGTGTTTGTGTCAGAGATATTCTGTTTACCCAGCTGGTTGAGGTTTTGTTTATGGTTTTATCTCAGGACAGAGATGTCAAGGAGGGAGCAGATATGCTGATGGTGAAGCCAGGACTGCCCTATCTGGACATAGTAAGGGAGGTCAAAGACAAGGTCAGTATGTTCTTCCTCGTTAACCCCTTTCACTGTCTGGTCACAGAGTTTCAGCCTCCGGGAGTGGTATTGACAGTTTGAGCTAAATAACCACACCACACTAAATTCCAAGGGTACATAAACAAGCTTTTCATCAGTTATCTATGAAGACTACAAAACATGCCTCTTCAGCTTCTCTTCTGACAACATACATGTTTTCACAATAGTTTCACCTGCTCCATCGCTTTCTTACCATCCTTCTATGGTCTCTTCCAGCACCCCACTCACCCGCTGGCAGTGTATAACGTGTCGGGGGAGTTTGCCATGCTGTGGCATGGGGCCCAGGCTGGCGCTTTTGACCTGCGCACCGCTGTACTGGAGTCTATGACTGCCTTCCGCAGGGCAGGTGAGAGAGGATGGGAGACTTGGGGTCTGGAGGAACAGTGCTCTGTTCTTTATAGAGAAAGAGTGAGTTCTACTGCTCTAGTTACATATTATTCCCTCTGCTCAAGGTGCTGACATCATCATCACCTACTACACACCTCAACTGCTCACCTGGCTGAAAGAGTAACAGACAGAAGGATGGACATAGAGATGGATCATGCGGCAAACTCCTTTTTACTTAACTGTGCAAGGCTGAACTACACTGACAAATGGGGTCTATTCAAACCAAACTGACGTGAGAACAGGCAATCTATCTTCATACATTAATTTACAGTTTTTTTCTATATAACATTGTTACTTCATTTTTATTTATTTGTTTGTGTGCAGCAACCACAAATTCTCACCAAAGATGGGAGTCTTGTAGCTAGTAGCCACTTTTGTAAAGCGTATCAAATTAGCTTTGAATGGTTTGTCTAATGTAAGATTAATTTTTTAAAATATAAAATCTGTTGATTGTCTTGTTGGTTTATGGCCATTTTTTTACTATTCTATAGTTTTCTAAAAAGAGTATCATGGATATAGGCCTTTATTTGACTTTTTATAGTTTGTTCTTTAACATCTGTAATAGCTCTGGCTTTAGCACTGATATTTAGCAGTGGTTGTAAGGTTGGGTTAAGAAACCTGTAAAGCTCTTATTTACCAGGGTAAATGGTCCTGTCCAAGAAAAGAGATTTGTTGGATAACAGCAATAAAGCTACAATCGAGTCTGAAATATGCTTAATCAAGTAACATTTTCTTAATTACATATAACTTTGTTCAATACTTTTGTCATAGATTTGATTAAATATAGTGAAAGCAATATAGGTTGCAGTTCAGCCAAACACTACTCTGCTGGTCACCTTCTGTACTTGGGTGTTGTCAGATATATCCACCTCCCAAACAAGGAGTTTACAGACAAGTCGTCATTATCAAAAGCACAGAGGAATAGTACCCGCTAGCCATATGCAGAACGATCAGTGAAATCTTGAAGGAAGGATGCATTTTCAAAGTACTAAAACCCTAGCCCTAGTCCCTCTCTAAAATGGCCATCTAAGAGATAATCTTTCTGGCTGGAGGGTTTTGACTGGATGGTGCCCCTTTGGAGACTGTCCACACATCCTCCCCTGCAAAATCGAAAAACAGGAAGACGTTTAACATGCTTTACTCAGCTACTGTACCTACACATGCCCATAGCTTCGACAGGAGAACTCAACACAAACTAGATGTAGACTAGACATACACATTTTGGCAGGTCAAAACACTTACCCTTGTGCTGGTATTGTCATCCTGTAGCTGATTTGATCTTTCTTGAGGGGCAGCAGCAGGCAGCTATGCTGTCAGCCACATAGGACAGCACTGAGTAGGGACACAATTTGTTAATATGCAGTATTATCGTATGTCCGTGTCTCAGTGCTTTCATGTCTTTTCCTCATCCTATATCTTTATTACATTGTTACTACATATACACTACCATTCAAAAGTTTGGGGTCACTTAAAAATGTCCCTGTTTTTCGAAAGAAAAGCCATTTTTTTGTCCATTAAAATAACATCAAATTGATCAGAAATACAGTGTAGACATTGTTAATGTTGTAAATGACATGTAGCTGGAAACGGCTGATTTTTAATGGAATATCTACATAGGCGTACAGAGGTCCATTATCATCAACCATCAGTCCTGTGTTCCAATGGCATGTTGTGTTTGCTAATCCAAGTTTATCATTTTAAAAGGCTAATTGATCATTAGAAAACCCTTTTGCAATTATGTTAGCACAGCTGAAAACTGTTGTTCTGATTAAAGAAGCAATAAAACTGGCCTTCTTGAGACTAGTTGAGTATCTGGAGCATCAGCAATTGTGGGTTCGATTACAGGCTCAAAATGGCCAGAAACAAAACTTTATTCTGAAACTCGTCAGTCTATTCTTGTTCTGAGAAATGAAGGCTATTCTATGCGAGAAATTGCCAAGAAACTGAAGATCTCGTACAACACTGTGTACTACTCCCTTCACAGAACAGCGCCAACTGGCCATATCTCAGACTGCCCATCTTAATCTTTTCTTTTTATTGGCCAGTCTGAGATATGGCTTTTTCTTTGCAACTCTGCCTAGAAGGTCAGCATCCCGGAGTTGCCTCTTCACTGTTGACATTGAGACTGGTGTTTTGCGGGTACTTTTGCGGGTACTAAGCTTTAATTAAGCAGTTGAGGACCTGTGAGCCATCTGTTTCTCAAACTAGACACTAATGTATTTGTCCTCTTGCTCAGTTGTGTACCGGGGCCTCCCACTCCTCTTTCTATTCTGGTTAGAGCCAGTTTGCGCCTTCATTTCTCAGGACAAGAATAGACTGACAAGTTTCAGAAGAAAGTTATTTGTTTCTGGCCATTTTGAGCCTGTAATCGAACCCACAATTGCTGATGCTCCAGATACTCAACTAGTCTCAAGAAGGTCAGTTTTATTGCTTCTTTAATCAGCACAACAGTTTTCATCTGTGCTAACAAAATTGCAAAAGGCTTTTCTAATGATCAATTAGCCTTTTAAAATGATAAACTTGTATTAGCAAACACAACGTGCCATTGGAACACAGGACTGATGGTTGCTGATAATGGGCCTCTGTACGCCTATGTAGATATTCCATTCAAAATCAGCCATTTCCAGCTACAATAGCCATTTACAACATTAGCAATGTCTACACTGTATTTCTGATCGATGTTATTTTAATGGACAAAAAAATTGCTTTTCTTTCGAAAACAAGGAAATGTCTGTGACCCCAAACTTTTGAATGGTAGTGTTTACTAGGGCTCTTTGTTAGGAGAGCAGATTTTTTTTAACTCCAGTGAATTTCAAAGCTTTTTATTTGTCTGACAATGTTTTGTCATCTGTAATCGCCCCTACATTTGTCTTTTGTCAAAATTGTGTAGTAGACCTTTACAGTAGATCACAGTTCAGATTATCCACAATACAATCCTGCACTTTTGTCTATCTACAAGGACAACCAGAAAAGCTATGCCACAGGCTGGTAAAATGATACCACCCCTATCAGGTTTCAGGTTGTAACTCCTTGGCCAATTAAAAAAAAATGCAAACCATTCTCTTATAGGTGTCTTATTTTGATAAGCATGAAAAGGAATTACTCATTAGACAATGGTAAATTATTGCATTCATTGAATAGTGCATACAATTATGATTTTAGTAAAATATTGAGTAAACCAAATTATGGTATATTAGACTTGTATTTATTTGCTATATAATGTTGTAATTTTCTTACCGCTGAAGATGAGTCACAACATGGCTTGGCTTCAGAAGATGGTGTTGGTCATAGACTATATGGGTTGTGGGTGGGAGCTTGTACAGTCCCAGGAGCTGAACAAAAGTGCTCAGTTCTATGCAAGTGTTCTAGCTTTTGGAGGTATGTGCAGACTGCACAGACAAGCCAATGAGAGAACGTTCATCTTCACAGATGCCTGCATCAGCAATTATGGATGAATAATGCAGAGGAAACTCGCTCTGCTAAACTGTCAACAAATGTCTTCGTCAAATATTTTCAACAACTACATGGTTTTGCTCATTCTATTTTCCTGTACCCGAGAAGACATTTAGTAGGCCCATCTTTTATACACCCAACATATGTGTATTTGTTTACTATTGTTATTCGTTTTGTGTTAATAACCCTCTCTGATGGTGCACAATAATTCCCTAACGATCAATTGCTGCTGTGTAATTGATTGGTTTACCCCTGGTTTTAATGTCTATGGTTTACCCTTCTGTTGAGATGGCGATTGTTCTGAAATCCACTTTCGGGTGTGTAACATGTGGGACAGGACAGACTTCTCGCGGTCGTCACTAGTTACCACAAACACAGTGATAACGATGGTTAACTCTGCCTATTTCTACAATTTATCTCTTAAAATCTGATTTTAAACCTAACCTTAATTATATTGTTAACCTTATGCCTAACCTTAAATTAATACCAAAAAAATGAATTTATGTTTTCATGCAGGTGCAGAAGATTGTCATTTTTTCCCTGGTTAGCTACAGTAGGTACCTTCGGATAGCCAGCATTTGATTCGTCTCCATAAAGATTGTCGACGGGCAGGTGGGTAACGGTTTTATATTGTTATACGAATTTATGTTGGGGAAATAAAAATAGTTTATTGATATAGCTAAGTTCATATTTAAGGAAGGATACAAAATGGCAAAGTTACATTTAGGAACGTATGACAGCTAGCTTGTAGCTTAGCTTGTTTTAACTATCGCGTAACGTTTGCTAGCTAACTAGCTAGCTAGTGGGCTAAACGTTTTTGCTTCCCTAAATGTGTAGCTTTCAAGATATTCAGCACACATTTCTAAACAAACAGTAACGAATATTTTCTGTGTTATTTTGACTTTTCCTTTTAGCTGGAGGTACGTAGAACATAGCTAATTGTTGCTACCGGTAATGTAACTAGCTAGCCCTTGATCATGACTCAGTTCCAGCATTACACATAAGTCATTGGACGAAGCGGGGGAGTTTTTTTAAGAGCCCCGACGCTCGGTCGGCACATAAACATGCATCAATTGCGGCACGGTTTTGGAAGCATAAGAGGACCTTATCTTTCATATCAGCGATAAATAATTTTCAATAAACAAAAGGTTAATTTGACACCTTTTTATAAGATTAGGGTTCCCACACAGCCATGTTACAGCGCTTGTTTACGAAAAACAGACGGAAGACAGTTGACTACCTGTGCTAATTAACTACCTGCACCTCCGAACACCTGTGTATAAACTGAAGGAGGATAACACAAACAGGTTGTCACTGAAAAATACTGTCAGCTGCAACGGTGTTAAAATCGATTAAAACAGTGTACAGTAAGTGTGTATTTTGCGTTTGGGAAATTAGTTTGTGATATGAAAGTAGAGAGATGTATGTTTCTAGAACAGTACCGCAATTGAGAATCGATTCACGTTTAGATGGCGTATTTGGCTGTTTTGGCTTCCAGAGCAATTCGCCTTTAAACAGAACATGTAAAGTCCTTGGACTAGCTAGCAAGCTAATGTTTACAGAAAGGGGGTTATCTTGCTTGCGAATGCAAGATTAATATTAGCTAGTAACTTCAGAAGATTCGCTAGCTAACGTTGTAGCTAAATGTGGATTTGTCTAATTTATGGATATAGTCACCATTCCTTGTTGTTGTATCCATTATTCCATATAATCAAGATTGATTATAAACATGACTGGTTAATTCCACTTCATTCTATCAACTCATGACATCCAGCAACCAGTGAAGTGGTTGTTGGACCTCCGTGGGCAACCCATGCCAAGTGTTGTGGAGTTCTCCAGTCAAACTCAGCTGTCATGCTTAATATAGAACGAGAGTTGGTGGGAAGTGGGGTTATTTTGTGGGGCAGGGTCTTACATATATTTAGGGTGCTGCTGTCATGCATGTGTTACTGTATAGCCTAATACTAATACTTTGACCTAAAGTATGTATCAGAATAATTATTTCCCTGTGCTGTTCCCTTGCAGAATGTCAGGATGGACAATGGCCCAGCCCTGCCAGACAGCCTGGTGCTGGAGATCTTCCTGCGTCTCCCCCATGATTCTGTGCTGAGCGCTGGCTTGGCCTGCAGACAGTGGCTGGCAGTGTCCAGAGATGAGTTCCTGTGGAGGGAGCTGTTCTACAGCTACTACCGCATCCCCCACTCTGTGCCCAGACACCCTGGTAGGCCACAAAGAACACCAGGCAGCAGGGTTGGGCTAATTCCATTTAAACCCATCCAATACTGTAAATGATGGACACTTTTCAATTTATAAAGAAAGGAGGAAAGTCAGATATTAATTTGAAGCTTATCTGCTAAGTATTGAGGCCATGGGTTGGGCTAGCCCTCAACTAGGCTATTTTTGGAATGATTTGTTGGAATACACATTGATTATGGATAATGGTATGGTCTTCTGCATAGGAACATTTATATTTACTTCCACCAATACACATGTGAATAAATCAAGCATCTGAATATCTTATATCTCATGTTGACTATTGCTTATTGTTGCAGTACTGTCATTGCCGATTTGCATAGATATTTTCAATAGTTTTGTGATCCATTTTCACCTGTCTCTCTCCCTAGCTTCTGTGTCGTGGTACAGAGAGTTCAAGCGTCTGTTTAACTGCATCCCCTGTGTGGAAGTTCAGACTCTGAGAGAGCACCAAGACCAGGTCCTCCACTTGGCCTTCTCCCACCGAGGACACCGCTTCTCCTCCTGTTCCAAAGACTGCACCGTCAAGGTCTGTCACATCATATGACCGGAGAAGATGGCAGCTTTAGCCTAGGGCTAGGGATAAGCCAAATAAAGATGGCCAGTGTGCACCAATATTTGTTTTGTTGTATTCCACAACAACAGTCACAAGGATACATTTGGGCCTCAAGGCCTATGTTAGCAAAATGGCCAAAATGGATCCTTGAGATTGCTGTTATGCAAAAATAACAATATAAATATTTGTCAATAATATTATAGCACAGGAACCATCACGGATCTGAGTTTCAAGCGTGTAGTGCCCAAAAATGTGATGTAGGGGGAAACGAATGTAATTGTTGAGATTTGCACATCATAGCTGTAGAGTTGACATCTACTCTCCCATTTCTCTGTTCTCTGTTCTCATCTTTAAACCGCTCGTCTCTCTCCTCACCCAACATCCTCCTCTCTCCTGCGCTGATCAGCTTTGGGACACAGTGCGGCCCGATGGCACCATCACCATGGTGCACAGCTCCAGCATGCGCCACTTCAACTGGGGCTACACCCAGTTCTCCCAGTTCAACGCTGACGACACCCTGCTACTGGTGTCTGGAGTCTACCTGGGCCCTCATCACTCCTCCTCTGGGGAGATTGCTGTCATCAGCCTTGGTAGGACACACGCACTCTCCTGCTGTTTCTCCCTCACTTTTGTCTCCTTCCTTGTCTTTTCTCTTCCTCTACTCTGTCTCTTTCTCATAATGTGCTTTCATTGGTGATTTTTCTGGAATGTGTATCACAAGGCCTTTAACAAATGAAATTAGGCTAATGACTTAATTCAAAACGCAAGTTATCCTCATTAGAAATGTTTTTGGACACAAAATGACGTTACTTACGACACAGACATTGTGACTCAAGTGTGGGACATAGATGGAGCACAGTATGAGGACATGTGGAGGAAAACTAAATGACATACACAGCACACCTCTTAATTATAACCCTAACAGTGAGGCAACAAACATTTCCTTTGTTTGCATGCAAAACAGGTCTTAAAAGTTGCATGTTTGCTCTGAAACACCCAAGCCAGATTATAACTACTACAACCCATTTCAGTTGTGCAAGTGCATCAGTGAAAACACAAAGAATCTCACCACACCTGCGACAAGTTTTTGCAACGTTGTATGAAATAGGCCTACCTGTATTCATGAAGATTGGTCTGATCTTTCTATGATAACATAACTGATATCTAAAATATAACAATAATACTTGCTATTATCATACTCTAATTGGTCATTATCCGATGTGGGTAACATAGATAACCATGGGTGTTTCTTGTCCTGCCCTCCTCCACAGAGAACTACACCCTCCTGTCCCGTGTGAGGAACAAGCCCTACGATGTGTTTGGCTGCTGGCTGAACGAGACCCACCTCGTCTCTGGCAACCTGCACTGGATCGGCAACATGACCTCCTGCTCTGTGCTCTGGCTCAACAAAGCCTTTCAGGTCGGTCTCATACATGGTCATAAATGTTATGGTTGGTAGAGGACAAAACAGCTGTGGGACTATCTTCCTGTACATAGTGACCATTTTGACTGGGTCATCGTATGACTGGTCAAACTGAATTAAATTGTGGATGTCCCACACACAGAATTATAGGATCTCTATGGTTTCACAAATCTAGGTTTCTTTGACTGAGGTTTTGGTCGATGTCAGCTCTCTCTCTGTAAGTCAGAGCTATCAACTCCCTAAAGGCGTCCGCATGCTTGTGATGTTTTGGTCTTCGGTAAGGTTTTTTTTGTCTGTTCGTGCACACAAAAAATTCTCGAGGCAGGCCGAAGTTTGGAGCCGACGCCTACGCCCCTTCATTGGTCAACAGTAGGGATTCTTCAATTAAATGTTTGTCATTCAATGATAGACGACTCATTTTCACGCACATTTTTTCACTTGAGAAATACTGCACCAAACATCTTAGATGTAAAATTGCGCGACGAAGATCTCTTTAGCAAAAACGTCAGAATGAATGACAGATTTCTTGAGTTATCTTACATCAATTCTGACTTTTGAGGAAGGCTACGGTGTCTCAAGATGGACAAACGGTACTATTGCCGCTTTTCAAGCGACGGTCTTGGTTCGCCTAGTAGTTAGTTTGTGCCAGCTGAACCGAAGCATGCGGAAGCCCGTAAGTATATTTGCTTAGGTTCCTTCCAGTCTAATGACTTGTATGTATACTGAACAAAAATATGAACGGAACAATTTCACCGATTTTACCTCGTTACTGTTCATATAAGGAAATCAGTCAATTGAAATAAATTCATTAGGCCCTAATCTATGGATTTCACATGACTGGGCAGGGGCGCAGCCAAGCCCACCCACTGGGGAGCCAGGCCCAGCCAATCCGAATGAGTTTTTCCCCACAAAAGGGCTTTATTAAAGACAGAAATACTCCTCAGTTTCATCAGCTGTCCGGGTGGCTGGTCCCAGACCATCCCGTAGGTGAAGAAGCCGGATGTAGAGGTCCTAGTTGGACCTACTGCCAAATTCTCTAGAACGAGCCTCCCGAGTGGCACAGCGGTCTAAGGCACTGCAACGCAGTGCTTGAGGCGTCACTACAGACCCGGGTTCCATCCCAGACTGTGTCACAACCGGCCGTGACCGGGAGTCCCATAGGGCTTTGTTCAGTATATTTACTGTGCTATGTATGTTCATGCATGACCCATATCCTCTCTCTCCCTCTCCCCAGGACGTGGAGTCTGAGAATGTCAACGTGGTCAAGCGGCTCTTTAAAATCCAGAACATCAACGCCAGCACCATCCGCACGGTCATGGTGGCCCACTGTCGGCTCCACGACAACCCAGACCTGCTGCTGGACTATGAAGCCCAGTCCAAGGCTAGGGCCCTGGCTCAGAGCCAGCCACAGAGCCACCAGCCCCTGCTCTTTGACCTGGGCTCCACTGACAGCGAGGAGGAGGATGACGATGAAGAGCACAGGAGGGAGATGAGACTGCAGGGTCTGTCGACAGCCCACCTACCTCAACTCGGCGCCACTGGGCAGGAGCATGTAATACAGGTAAGCACTCAAAGGTTGTGTGTTACGGTGGAGTAGGACAGCATGAAAATAACATGTTGTGCTGTGTAACCAATGGGAAGTGTACCAAGTAGTCTCATTTGGCCACATGACTTCATCTTCTTTTTTATCTTGATTTTGTACTCTGACCTTTTCTCCTCTCTTCCTCTGGTGCCCTCAGGGTCGTCAAAGTAAAGCCTCAGAGGTGAGGGAGCTGGAGACTAAGTGGGCCCAGCTCATGGGTAAAACCCACACCAAGGCCCCAGACCCCAATGTGCTCTCCTCCTCGGCCCCAGGGGAGGGAGAGGACAAGACCTACCTGCTCTTCACCACCGGTAGCCTTACCTACTCCCCCCACCAGATAGGTATCAAGCAGATCATGCCTGACCAGATGACCACGTCTGGGCCTGTCCTGGGGGAGGAGCGCAGCACAGACGAGTTCTTTGACTCTCTAGACCATGTGATCGACATCCACGGCCACATCATCGGCATGGGCCTGTCTCCAGACCACAGGTGAGGGAGTGGGTGTGCGTCATGGGCAGCAGTGTGAAGAGGCTGGATAACTTGGTTGCAAGGCTACAGATGCAAAGATGTGGCAGAAGGAGTGCACCTGAAACCCATTGAATGACTGTCATAGAAACCTCATAGTAACTAATCTCTCGTGGACAGATTAAACGTCGAATCTGTCAAAGCTCACGTATAATTATGTGATTACGAGCAGCAGTAGTTCCTGGTTTTGGGTTTTTATCATTGATTATCTGGACAAATCATAATTTGGCGAATGCGGTGCTTAAACTGGTGCTGTGATTTTCAAGCCCATTGCAGATGATAAACGGTTTCCACTAAATTCCACAGCCACAAAGTCAAAATTGTCTATCTTAAAATTAAAGAAAACAAACATTTGCTTTTGGCCATGGTGAATTTAGCGGAAAGGAGGGTTTTGGCAGATAGTTTCCTTTTGCGAGGGAGACTTCGCTTCCTTCCTTTGCACAACGGGAATCACAATTGTTAACAGCATTACCCTCAGAAGTAAAACAGGAAATTAGAATTTTGCTTCTGGGTAACCAAGATTACATAGTAAGTATTTGTCTTGCAACATCACCTTGCTTTCCTCACTTTCTTTTTATTGCTGAACAAGTACATCTTAACCAAGTCCATCCATGCTGTTGTCTGTCTGTCCAGGTATCTGTATGTGAACAGTCGGGCGTGGCCGGCGGGCTGTGTGATCTCTGACCCCATGTCTCCGCCCCCCATCGCCGAGGAGATTGACCTGCATGTTATTGACCTGAAGAGCCTGCGGGAGGAGAGGCAGAGCCTGAGGGCCCACCGAGCCTTCACGCCTAACGACGAGTGCTTCTTCATCTTCCTGGACGTCAGCAGAGACTTTGTGGCCAGGTACGTATGTCATGGCTGCTCTAACAGTTACAGGCAGTATGGGGGTATGGGTTTATAAATAACTTCAGATTCCTTTTTCAATGTTATTGGGCCTTTGTATCAGTTACTAACAGGGAGAAATCGTGTGTGTTATATGAAGGACATGTTCTTCCATATGCAGATTTGATAATACCCAATCCTGTTCAGCATGTCTTTACATTTACATTTACATTTACGTCATTTAGCAGACGCTCTTATCCAGAGCGACTTACAAATAGGTGCATTCACCTTATAGCCAGTAGTACAACCACTTTACAATGTTTTTTTTTTTTAATGGAGTTGAACAAAATGTAATGCAAACCCCAGCTGTGCACAGAAATCACCTACAGTGCCTTCAGAAAGTATTCACGGCCCTTCACTTTTTCCACATTTTGTTGTGTTACAGCCTGAATTTAAAATAGATTAAATTGAGATTTTGTGTTACTGGCCTACACACAATATTCCATAATGTCAAAGTGAAATTATGTTTTTAGAAATGTTTACAAATTAATACAAAATGAATAGCTGAAATGTCTTGAGTCAATAAGTATTCAAGCCCTTTGTTATGGCAAGCCTAAGTAAGTTATTGCGCTTAACAAGTCACATAATAAGTTGTATTGACTCACTCTGTGTGCAATAAGTGTTTAACATGATTTTTGAATGACTACCTCATCTCTGTACCCCACACATACAATTATCTGTAAGGTCCCTCAGTTGAGCAGTGAATTTCAAACACAGATTCAACCACAAAGACCAGGGAGGTATTCCAATGCCTCGCAAAGAAGAGCACCTCTTGGTAGATGGGTAAAAAAAAACAGACATTGAATACCCCTTTTGAGCATGGTGAAATTATTAGTTACACTTTGGATGGTGTATCAATCCACCCAGTCACTACAAGGATACAGGCATCCTTCCTAACTCAGTTGCCAGAGAGGAAGGAAACCGCTCAGGGATTTCACCATGAGGCCAATGGTGACTTTAAAACTGTTACAGAGTGTAATGGCTGTGATAGGAGAAAACTGAGGATGGATCAACAAAATTGTAGTTACTCCACAATACTAACCTAAATGACAGAGTGAAAAGGAAGCTTGTACAGAACAAAAAATATTCAAAAACATACATCCTGTTTGCAATAAGGCACAAAAGTAAAACTAAAAAAAATGAGGCAAAGAAATTAACTTTATGTCCTGAATACAAAGCATTATGTTTGGGTCAAATCCAACACATCACTGAGTACCACTCTTCATATTTTCAAGTATGGTGGTGGCTGCATCATGTTATGGGTGTGTTTGTTATCGGCAAGGACTAGGGAGTTTTTTAGGATAAAAAGAAACGCAAAATCCTAGAGGAAAGCCTGGTTCGGTCTGCTTTGCAACAGACACTGGGAGACATTCACCTTTCAGCAGGACATTAACTTAAAACACAAGGACAGATATACACGAGTTGCTTACCAAGACGACATTGAATGTTCCAGAGTGGCCTAGTTACAGTTTTGACTTAAATCAGCTTGAAAATCTATGGCAAGACTTGAAAATGACAGTCTAGCAATGATCAACAACCAACTTGACAGAGCTTGAAGAATTTTATAAAGAATAATGTGCAAATATTGTACAATCCTGGTGTGCAAAGCTCTTAGAGACTCACAGCTAATCGCTGCCAAAGGTGATTCTTACATGTATTGACTCAAGGGTGTGAATACTTATATAAATGCGATTTCTGTAATTCATTTTCAATAATTTGCTGACATTTCTTAAAACATGTTTTCACTTTATCATTATGGGGTATTGTGTGTAGATGGGTGAAAAAATAATAATATTTAATTCATTTAGAATTCCGGCTGTAACAAAACAAAATGGGAAATAAGTTAAGGGGTATGAATACTTTCTGAAGGCACTGTACTTTACTAGTCATTCACCAGTGACTATCTCTCGCCCCCTAGTGGTGCAGAGGACAAACATGGTTACATCTGGGACCGCCACTACAACATCTGCCTGGCGCGGCTGCAGCATGATGACGTGGTCAACTCTGTGGCCTTCAGCCCAGCCGATCAGGAGTTGCTGCTCTCTGCCAGCGACGACTCCACCATCAAGGTGTGGCGCTCGCCGCGTATGGTCCGCCTGGCACAGATGCCCGCCCGTCCCCCGCGCAACCTCCTCTCCTGGCTGGTCCGCAACAAGAACACCACCTCCGCCAACGGGAAACCCTGACCACCTGAGACGGGTGGGAGGGGACTGGAGAGGGGGAAATACTATTTCATAGGTGACGCACACTCCAGGAGTAGCTATCTTCAGTGTGGGAAAATCTAACTTTTTTAAAACCTTGAACTCATTGTGTTATGGCTGCCTGCACAGTGTGGTATAGGTATGACATCACCAACCACCAAGGACATGTGACAGCTGGGGTAAGCCACAAGGAGGCACAATTGCAACAGCAATTTCACAGGCCTCTCCATAAATTTACTTTTTGAAGGTGACACCTAGCAAGGTGAATTGCTGTCAAAGTGAAGGTCATACAGTACAGGTAAATTCCTCCTGGACCTTTGCAAAGTCTGGGGGGGAAATGACATTCATTGGTTATAATGATCATGCTTCTAATTAATGAATGAACTACTGGAGAAGAAACATGGGAGACTACTTCAAGAAAGAAAATTATTTAGAGTTCGTTCACTGAATGAAGAGAAGATGTGGACACTAAAATATGGTCCAAGATCACTTTCTTGTGTGTTTTGTCTACTGTTTTTAAGTCTTTCGATCTATGTGTGCATGTTTGCACGAGTGTTTGTATATATTCTTTCACGTTTTTTAATGTTGGGTTGTACGATCACATCTGTGATGTCATATGATTGCAGAGCTGAGGACATGTCTGAAATTACCAGGAGCAATTCAAGTGGTCTGGTACCTCCTGAAAGTGTGTTTGTGAATGTTTGTCAGAGGGGGGAGAGAGAGGTGCACAAATAATCCAGGACCGTAATGGCCGGCATGGTTTCTTCATTGTTACACTAAATCTCTAACAAGTTTCACCAAATTGTCATGATAGAAATATCACCGAACTTTGTTGCTACATTCCACAATCTACAAATTACTCTGACTATCCTTTGAAACACATGCTAGATTAATAATGTGACACAACTGACACATTGCTCCTGAACACTGCCAGTATGATGTGAGTTTCAAATAATATTTTACTAAATGGTTGTAACAGTCCTGTGGAGGTCATTTTATCCCTGAGGGAAAAACATCCAACTGACATCCAGCTGGTCGTGGGATGGGATCATAGGAAGACGTATTTATTACTATTGTCAGCAAATATGCTCAATGAATGTTTCCAAAGAGGCTTAATTTCAACATATACTACCAAGGAAGTTATTGCCTTACAATGGGAGTGCCACCTTTCATAATAGCCCAACCTTCCTCCACAGGATACAGCTTCATGTTCAAAGGTCATATGGTTAATGTGAAAACTGGTAATATCAAGGCAGTATTCCTTTGAAATCGTTATGCAACCATCCGTATCTGAACTAGCACGCAATTTATGTAAGTGTTGCATTTTATAAAGCCTACTGACAAAGCACATATTCAAAGCACTACAGTAGGGCTTGGTGGTACCACAGAGAATATCCTTTTCAAATCATAATCTGCATTTCTTGCAGCAAAGGCCTTCCGTCCTCTAATGCTTTTAAAACAGACCCTCTCCTTAAACCTGAGCGAGAAGTCTGTGTGCCTAGTGCTTCTCTCATTGGCTGTAACCACAACCTACCCCAGCTCTGGTCATGCATTATCATTGTATTGTGCATAGAAACAAATGTTGTAAAATGTAAGTTAGGTTTTTAAAAGTATTGCTCTTATTTTGTTTTTTCAGTTCCCACTGGCTAATCTGCAACTTTACACCAGCTTTGATTGAATTTGAAATAAATAAGAAATTCCTATCACTTTAATTCAGTTACCTTTCATTTCCAATGTGAGTGGGAAAGATCCTTGTGACTGCAGGCCAAAATGCACAAACAATCAATGCTCATATAATCACATGCTCGGTTCATACGTTCTCTGACCAAACAAAGAGACCATCACAAGGTTTATAGTATTTATAAAGTAGATCTCCCCAGAGCCCTATACTACGAATGTAGTTTGTGGAGTTAGCGAGGTAACTTGATTCAACTCGGGATAGCCGGTACCACGAAAGTGGGTCACATTTTAGCCAGGTACATTTCTATGGCAACGAATCCTTCAGATCTAACCTGGCTAACTCCATTAACCCGAATGAAGTGTCTGAGCCTCGAGTTGAGGACCAATGGAATTGGATTCCCTCCCTCTCGCATAGATTGCATCATCATCCCCTTTTGAGGAAGACTGATTAATTAATCAAATGTTTGTGTTACAATACCTATCACATTACACATTTAGTAATGACAGAATGCATTTGAAACTTTACGCACTAACCTTTTATTGATAGGAGTGGGGGAAAAGCTTGTGCACTAACGTAATACAATAAACGGCACTAATAAATAATACAATAAAAAAATAAAAAAATAAAAACTATTTTACACCATAGCCTGCTGAATTTGCAATAACCTTTCTTTCATTTTGATTTCGGCACAAATGAAAAATGTGGTACTGGCTCGACCATGGATTGATGTTTCAGGAATGTCTCAATTATGAGTTTGGTGTTAGAGTAGCCATGTGCGACATGCACGTGCAGTTACAAGCCTGCTAGAGTTAGCAGATGACCAATATCCACCGTCGTAGTATTGATGAAGCCTGAGCAGTAATGTGAAGCTAACTGAAGCTGGCTGGCTTTAGAAAACCCTGAGTAGATCTAGCTTGTTTGGGAGTATACCCCTCTGGAGGTAAAATCACACTGACTCATCACAGTTACATCAATTTATTTATTTTCATAACATCATTCTCATTGGTAGATAATGCATTGATAATGCATTTTCACCTCCAATTTATTGTTATAGATACAATATTTCCATATCTTCTATAAAAAACTAAAAATCTCAGGACTACTCCAGGCTAGATTGAATTAACATGCAATCAAATCAAACACAAATGTTCCAATAAAAAGTCTTGACTGTCACAATCATGACAACATAAAACAAATAAAATGTCTAATGCAAGATCTACAGTGCGACTTCCTTGGTTAAATAAATAATAAAGAAATCAATCAATTACAAACTTGAAGACCGGTAACTTTATTAATTATAAGTGCTTTCCTATAATGCATGCATATAATTATAATTAATAACGTTACACACTGTGCTGTTATATTTGTGTAGCCTCCTCTTCAACAAAAACACAACACACAACTACATACAACTCTTTACCATTACAGTGACAAAAATATTCATGATCAACACGTCACCAAATGTTTTAGTATATTAGTTATTGATGAATTATGACCCACAATGTTAAGTGAAGGAGATGTACTTGTATCATTTTGTCTCATCCACTCTACACAAGATAGATAAGGATAACCTATGTCACAAGTATGACATTCAGAAACACTCCATTGTTATCTTCAATACAATTATGCTGGCATAATAGCCTGCTAACTGTTACTATGTATATATGCGCTAGCTCAGTATAAATAAATTACCTTGTTATTTGAGATAAAATATGCATTTCGTATTTGAAAAGAGCAGTAGCTTTCTATGCTTAGCCTTAGGCTATAACATTATAATACATAGTTCATATATTTGTTATAGTTAATAGTAAGATGTATACTGTATTTTATTACAGTATATATATCTTCATTGGGTACATGTCTATACTGTGGCGTACTCTTGTACACTACAGCTATATAGGCACTGTTTATCTACCTAGCTAACAGAACTGTATACTGAGGAAAGATACGATGATTGGTTCATCTGAGCCTCAAGCTGATGTCGTATAATGCTCAAATTAAGTATTCACTATGTCTGCCTGAACTCAGGATAATGCAGAGGATATGGTGCCTTTGAAAGGAGGTCAGTTAAGAGGTGTCAAATTTGGTCCGCATAGCAGCTATTTGATAATTTTTTGCCATGCTTAGTAGAAGACATTTATGGTAACACAAACTTTATACTGCTTAAATTTGATGGAAAACTACTTTAATTCAAGGTAAAGCCTGTTGTGCACCCACCTTGTTCAATGATTTATTAGGCTTTAAGTACAGTGCATACAGCATGGATGTGAGCAGTGGCGCGTATTCATGGATACCAAGGGAAGTCAGGCTCCCCCCAAAAAATGACCAAGAAAAAAACATACAAAATCATTTCTTTCATCTTTCTGTGTTTCATAAATTTCCTTCAATTCGCAAGAGGCTGAATGTATCTCACCGGAGAAAGCATCCAAGCGAACGAAACAGCACCCCTCTGTAGCACATCTATGCTGTCTGGTCAAAAAGATTATGACATTGTTGCCGCCAGTAGCATTGAATGCAAGGGAATCAGGCGAGAAATTTGGCCTCCCTTGATACATTTTTCAATAAAATAATAGCCAATCAGCGTTGAGCTAAACTAAGTGAACTCAGCTGTGAATGGTCCTGGCCAAACATCATTGACAGGAAACTTGAATTGTTGCATCCCGTTGTGTTGTTGTCCTCCAGTGGCTAGCTCGCTAGCTAAATTGGCCCATTCCTAAATTAGCCATGGATGGAGATAGGGAATTGGACTTGTGGTTTTACTTACAGTGGCTTGCGAAAGTATTCACCCCCCTTGGCATTTTTCCTATTTTGTTGCCTTACAACCTGGAATTAAAATTGATTTTTGGGGGGTTTGTATCATTTGATTTACACAACATGCCTACCACTTTGAAGACGCAACATTTTATTTTTTTGTGAAACAAACAAGAAATAAGACAAAAAAAAACAGAAAACTTGAGCGTGCATAACTATTCACATCTAGCCACTGGGATTTCTGCCCATTCTTCAAGGCAAAACTGCTCCAGCTCCTTCAAGTTGGATGGGTTCCGCTGATGTACAGCAATCTTTAAGTCCTACCACAGATTCTCAATGGATTGAGGTCTGGGCTTTGACTAGGCCATTCCAAGACATTTAAATGTTTCCCCTTAAACCACTCGAGTGTTGCTTTAGCAGTATGCTTAGGGTCATTGTCCTGCTGGAAGGTGAACCTCCATCCCAGTCTCAAATCTCTGGAAGACTGAAACAGGTTTCCCTCAATAATTTCCCTGTATCTAGCACCATCCATCATTCCTTAAATTCTGACCAGTTTCCCAGTCCCTGCTGATGAAAAACATCCCCACATCATGCTGCCACCACCATGCTTCACTGTGGGGATGGTGTTCGAGGTGTTGGGTTTCCAACAGACATAGCGTTTTCCTTGATGGCCAAAAAGCTCAATTTTAGTGTCATCTGACCAGAGTACCTTCTTCCATATGTTTGGGGAGTCTCCCACATGCCTTTTGGCGAACACCAAACGTGTTTGCTTATTTTTTTCTTTAAGCAATGGCTTTTTTCTGCCCACTCTTCTGTAAAGCCCAGCTCTGTGGAGTGTACGGCTTAAAGTGGTCCTATGGACAGATACTCCAATCTCCGCTGTGGAGCTTTGCAGCTCCTTCAGGGTTATCTTTGGTCTCTGTTGCCTCTCTGATTAATGCCCTCCTTGACTGGTCTGTGAGTTTTGGTGGGCGGCCCTCTCTTGGCAGGTTTGTTGTGGTGCCATAATCTTTCAATTTTTTAATAATGGATTTAAAAATGGTGCTCCGTGGGATGTTCAAAGTTTCTGATATGTTTTTATAACCCAACCCTGATCTGTACTTCTCCACGACTTTGTCCCTGACCTGTTTGGAGAGCTCCTTGGTCTTCATGGTGCCGCTTGCTTGGTGGTGCCCCTTGCTTAGTGGTGTTGCAGACTCTGAGGCCTTTCAGAACAGGTGTATATATACTGAGACAGATCATGTGACACTTAAATTGCACACAGGTGGACTTTATTTAACTAATTATGTGACTTCTGAAGGTAATTGATTGCACCAGATCTTATTTAGGGGATTCATAGCAAAGGGGGTGAATACATATGCACGCACCACTTTTCCGTTATTAATTTTTTAGAATTATTTGAAACAAGTTATTTCTTTCATTTCACTTCACCAATTTGGACTATTTTGTGTATGTCCATTACATGAAATCCAAATAAAAATCCATTTAAATTACAGGTTGTAATGCAACAAAATAGGAAAAACGCCAAGGGGGATGAATACTTTTGCAAGGCACTGTAATTATCCGTACTGGTCAATGACTATAACGGCAATTCTGATCCAACCATAACTTTGTACATTGTGCCCCTGGCCCGAGAGGATGGAAGTTCAACATGTAGCTAGATGTAGTAACGTTAGGCTAATATTAACTAGCTGGCCTGGCGATCGTTGCCCATGAAATGTATTCTGCCACTGTGTCTTCTTATTGTCTCGGCCTTAGGCCTATATATCACGGTGTCAAGGCATATGAACTAACAGGTCATAGAGCAAACAATGCAATGATCACAACACATAGGTTGTAATATGGCTTTTTTTCCTGGCTTGGCTTCCCCAGTGATTTTACCCATGCGCCACTACTACTAGTCTTACGCATAACCTAACCCATCCTCCTTTATCCGGGCTTGGGACCGGCTTGTAGCTTTTTTGAGAAAGCACTAGGTGGAGTTTGTGGAACATTTCTTTAATATAAATGGCCGACCGGTTGGTTTTGCCATTTAAAAAGTTGTCCCTGCTCACACGATGAATGGGCAGGATCTCTAACACATGCTTGTGCATGTGTACAACAGGTGCTACCTCAAGTAAAAGTAGTATTTCACAACTTGACAGTGTCATTTTGGCATGATCACATCAGTGTCTCTAAATTAAGCGATATTGGAAAATAATATAATAGAAATACATAATGTGATTTATGTGCAATAAGCCCAATAAGACCAAATTTGACAAGCTCCTATTGTCTCGGCATCCTCTGCATAATACTGCACTTCTAGTAGACAAAGCCAACACTTGGCCATATCACTCACCCTATTTTTCTCTGTTTAAACCAATTGAAAAGATCTGCTAGCAGAATTAATTTTTCATTCCAATGCCTTCAGCCAGCAAAATAAACAGTGTCTATGATATACTTATAATAATAAATATATGCATATTATAATAATATTACTTATATCATGTAATTTCAGAAGTTATATATTCGTCTGCGTTTTGTGCCTTTGTGTAGGGGGCTTCCACAGCCTCTACAAGCCTGTGAGGTCTACAATGGCCTTGATGAAAATGGTATCATCCCTAAGGTAGGAGCTTTTGCCTGTCAGTTTAGCTAATGGGCAGAAGAGTGGGCAGCCACTGGCTATGTTCATCTCACTGATTGGCCGCTGGAAGGAGGTGGAGCTGACATCAGGTCGGAAGGCGTCAATAATATGCTCCCGGTTATTCTGATCCAGCAGCATCAGAGTCACCTATAGGGAAGAGAAATAGGAGGGAGGCTTAATATTTTGTTTGTTTTATAATGCATTCTGTTGTAGTTAATTATGTTAGACATAAGTAAGATCAAGTTAATACGACAGACTGATTGAATAAGGAATCAGAAAGGTAAAGAAACTCACTTTCTGACTGAAGGGCCATTTGAGCAGAGCGTCACACTTGCCCCTCATCACCACGAAGAAAAGAGAAAGGTGTGTCCCTCGACCTGTTCCGTCCCCATTCAGATACAGTCTTAGACACATCTTATAGCCATACTTACTGGAGTAGAATGCTGTGGGAGAAGATAAACTACTTTAGACAGTCCCTCAGTATCTGCCTCTGACTAACACACACACATACTTGTGGAATTACATTGCGATAAATGTGTATCGGTATGGTATATTTACGATACATTAACGAGTAAGGATATGCAGGACTAGAGAATAACATATAATCAGCGTAGATCTAACCTGGTGAGAACATGGCGGGTGTTCGCCCGGCCACAGAATCCTGGCGGCGGCGTGAGAAGTCAGCGATCTTCCAAACAAACACACCGTCAAAGGTGCAGAACTGGAGCTCCCTCAGAGTCTGGTCTGTCTCGGCTAGCTGTAGATCTCGCATGGTGAGAGTACGCTCTAGTTGACGCACCTTGTTGCTGAGGTTCTCAATCTTGTCCTGGTCTAGTCTATGTTGTCGTGAGAAGGCCTCTAATGTGAGAGAGCTCCTCTCTACTTCTCTGTTCAGTACACACACTATATTCTCCAGCACTGTTACCTGCAGGACCACAAGGGGAGAACAGAGAACACAATGAATACCAGTCCTACACTATGTGTTGTTGTATCTTCAACAACTTCACATGGACAAATATTCAGGTAATCTATTATAGTTAAATAACAACACAGTACATGTACGATGCCAGTCTGTTTCATAATTTACCAGCTTGATTATCATTGCCCCCGTCACACACGAGGAGGGACAACAACAACCACATTTGGGCTGCTAAATTTAGACACAGACTAGCTTCTGTACTTTTCCTACATAGCAAACACATCCGATCAAATGAGACCCACCTTCTGGTCAAGGCCACTGGTCTGTCCAGAGGCAGCGGCTCCGCCCCCGGCTGTGGCTGCAGAAGCTGTGGCTCCCTCCTCAGGAGCACGGTAAAGGCCCAGCCCAGAGTCCTCCTGCCACTCCCCCGGCCCTGCGGCCTCCGGACACTGCAGCCGCACAATAGACATCATCGCCAGGATCAGACGCATGTGCTCCATGACGCTCGTCTGCTCGTGGTCACTGTGCTTCCCATTATCAATCTGCAGTGACACAACACAAGGCGTTTAGCACACCGAGTTAACTAGTCTGTATGATACTGTTGTGTCAATTCAATATTGCAATTCAAGCTGGAATTCAATTGTAGGGGGCTGCACATAAAAGATCATAGAGCATTTACTCTCTACAAACACTAGATGTCTCTTTTGAAACATGTCTCTCTTTTAAGGGTGTGTCCAATACCCAAGGGCAGATCTAAATCAGAGATACACTGAACAAAAATATAAACATAACAAGTGTTGGTCCCATGTTTCATGAGCTGAAATAAAAGATCCCCAAAATTTTCCATATGCACAAAAACCTTATCCACCTAACAGGTGTGGCATATCAAGCAGTTGATTAAACAGCATGATCATTACACAGGTGCACCTTGTGCTGGGGCCACTCTAAAATGTGCAGTTTTGTCACATAATAAAATGCCACAGATGTCTTAAGTTTTGAGGTAGCGTGCAATTGGCATGTTGACTGCAGGAATGTCCACCAAAGCTGAAGCCAGAGAATTGAATGTTAATTTCTCTACCATAAGCTGCCTCCAACGTAGTTTTAGAGAATTTGGCAGTACGTCCAACCGGCCTCACAACCGCAGACCACATGTATGGCGTCGTGTGGGCGAGCGGTTTGCTGATGTCAACGTTGTGAACAGAGTGCCCCATGGTGGTGGTGGGGTTATGGTATTGGCAGGCATAAGCTACGGACAACGAACACAATTGCATTTTATCGATGGCAGTTTGAATGCACAGAGATACCGTGACGAGATTCTGAGGCCCGTTGTGAGCCCCATTTTTAAAGGTATCTGTGACCAACAGATGCATATCTGTATTCCCAGTCATGTGAAAGCCATATATTAGGGCCTAATGAATTTATTTCAATTGATTGATTTCCTTATATGAACTGTAACTCAGTAAAATCTTTACAATTGTTGTATGTTGCATTTATATTTTTGTTCAGTATAATAGTCATCTTTGCACCCCAACAATGGGCAGGTTTCTCTCGATCTACAAGGCTACACATTTGGCATATTTATTTGACTGACAAATTAGGTCAGGTCATAGCAAAATACTGAGTAAAACAAACCTGTTTCCGCTATGACAAACAAGAAACCAGTACTCAAGAGCTGGCTGGGACGTTATGTTCAAAGATAGGCATTTTTCAAATATCTAAAGGCATCATCATTTAGATAAAACCTTATCTGATTAGTTATAATTTATCTTCTACACATACCACAGTCTTGCAGCCAACCTCACTGAATGGACATGCAGTCTTAGACTTGGCACAGGATCTGCTGTGATCTAGAAACTGAAGGGACAGAACAGAAAGAGAAAGGTCAGGGTTATGAAGACAAATGTGGGCAAACCCTGAAAATACCCACCATCATTTCAAATGTGAAAGTTGACAGTTGAGAGACAGAACAAAATAACCTAAGTTCAAAGGTCCAACTCAAATGGAAAGTTGTGTTATGAGAATACTTTATAGTAAGACCTAATGATTAACATAGGCCATTCTGTTCATGCTCTGGCCTCCCACATGAACAAATACTATAGTATACTGTAGTATTACTATATTTATATACTATAGTATTCACTGTAGTTTTTATGCAGACTTTACTGTAGTGTTTTGAAGATATTAATTCAAATGTTATTCATCACATGCTTCGTAAACAACAAGTGTAGACTAACAGTGAAATGCTTACTTACAGGCCCTTCCCAACAATGCAAAGAGAAGGAAATTACTGTAGTATACCATAGTATTTACTATAGTGTTTTTGCGGACATTACTGTAGTATGCTGTATACTATTGTCTTTTGTTTTATTATATTTATATTATTTGTAATCTTTTTGGGGCTTTCTCCTTGAGGAAACTTACTGGACAAACTAAAAGAGCAAATTGTCCATAACCTGTATGTAGGTAAGACTGTGATCTGAACAGGTAAGGTTCCGCACTTCTGCTCTTTTCTATAAGCTGTAGGCAACACAATATATGGTCTATACTTGGCATGTAGGTTTTTCAGTCATGGGTGGCACACATTGGGAAATGGGGAAGGGGACCCGCACGCAAATATAGGTTCCATTGATGACTGACTGGCACTCTTCTGGAAGACCAGCCATTGACTTTGTTGTTTACATATCCTTTCTTACTTCCTTGTTTTTTTGTTTGCCTGGTTACTACATGATTGAGGCATACTACAGTGTGTAGTATAGTATTCTACAACATTCTATAGTTAGCGCTACACGATCAAGAGATACTACAGTGTGGAGTATAGTATTCTACAGTATACTAAAAAGTTATATAGTAAGCACTACACAATCGAGGGATACTAGTGTGGACTATAGGATTCTACAGTATACTACAGTTTACTAAAGAATTATATTGTAAGTACCAGAGTATTCTATAGTAAACTGTAGTATTTTTTTAATGTGGGCTACTCCTCTTGGCTAGGCAATAATGTATCCTTATTGAAAGCAGAAACAGTATGGCACCAACAACGCTAATAAGATAAGATTGACTGACCTAGAAATGAAGCTAAATTACATTTACATTTTAGTAATTTAGCAGACGCTCTTATCCAGAGCGACTTACAGGAGCAATTAGGGTTATGTGCCTTGCTCAAGGGCACAGACAGATTTTTCACCTAGTCGTCTCGGGGATTCGAACCAGCCCAGCGCTCTTAACTGCTAGGCTACCTGAAAGGTCACAAAGCTACAGCAGAGCACAGACCTTTTCCCGTGGGATCTTTTTCTTTCCACAGTCCTTGCACTGAATGGGAAACTTCTGGCAGATTTCATCATGAGCCTGTAATACATGAGGAGTGGTAAGAGAATATCAGTTAATCCCAGAGAGTAAGGAGGACATTCCATAAGCATCTCATCACCATCTTACTCTAAAGTACTGTAGCTAATTCTATATTTGTTGACTATTGGTGTTCTCCAGATAAGCTCCCTCACCTTGATCTGCTTGAAGTTGAAGGAGACTTTGCAGTACTTGCAGTTCAATGTTCTTGCTTCACATTCTCTCTCGTTGTGCCTCTCTTTTTCACTGCGCAGGATGAGGACCTGGCAGGCTTCACATGGTACCCGCTCATACTCACACTTGCCCTCGTGTTGTGCCTAGAAACAAAAACAAAGACACCATCACTGACTATTCAAACAAATTCATCGCATGCAGCCCGGATTGTAGACACATCTGGACACAAGCTTTGAGAGGGGGAATGGTACATGTTAGACAGCATTTGAAAACCCCCGGAACCAAATTGAGTAGTTTGACAGCGCTTGTTAGATTTAGTGCACAATGAGATTTAGTTCTGGGTTTTGAGATCATACCATAAAGGACATTAATTCCTTAACAGACTTTACAGTGGGGAAAAAAAGTATTTAGTCAGCCACCAATTGTGCAAGTTCTCCCACTTAAAAAGATGAGAGAGGCCTGTAATTTTCATCATAGGTACACGTCAACTATGACAGACAAAATGAGAAGAAAAAAAAATCCAGAAAATCACATTGTAGGATTTTTTATGAATTTATTTGCAAATTATGGTGGAAAATAAGTATTTGGTCAATAACAAAAGTTTCTCAATACTTTGTTATACAGTATACCCTTTGTTGGCAATGACACAGGTCAAACGTTTTCTGTAAGTCTTCACAAGGTTTTCACACACTGTTGCTGGTATTTTGGCCCATTCCTCCATGCAGATCTCCTCTAGAGCAGTGATGTTTTGGGGCTGTCGCTGGGCAACACAGACTTTCAACTCCCTCCAAAGATTTTCTATGGGGTTGAGATCTGGAGACTGGCTAGGCCACTCCAGGACCTTGAAATGCTTCTTACGAAGCCACTCCTTCGTTGCCCGGGCGGTGTGTTTGGGATCATTGTCATGCTGAAAGACCCAGCCACGTTTCATCTTCAATGCCCTTGCTGATGGAAGGAGGTTTTCACTCAAAATCTCACGATACATGGCCCCATTCATTCTTTCCTTTACACGGATCAGTCGTCCTGGTCCCTTTGCAGAAAATCAGCCCCAAAGCATGATGTTTCCACCCCCATGCTTCATAGTAGTATGGTGTTCTTTGGATGCAACTCAGCATTCTTTGTCCGCCAAACACGACGAGTTGAGTTTTTACCAAAAAGTTCTATTTTGGTTTCATCTGACCATATGACATTCTCCCAATCCTCTTCTGGATCATCCAAATGCACTCTAGCAAACTTCAGACGGGCCTGGACATGTACTGGCTTAAGCAGGGGGACACGTCTGGCACTGCAGGATTTGAGTCCCTGGCGGCGTAGTGTGTTACTGATGGTAGGCTTTGTTTCTTTGGTCCCAGCTCTCTGCAGGTCATTCACTAGGTCCCCCCGTGTGGTTCTGGGATTTTTGCTCACCGTTCTTGTGATCATTTTGACCCCACGGGGTGAGATCTTGCGTGGAGCCCCAGATCGAGGGAGATTATCAGTGGTCTTGTATGTCTTCCATTTCCTAATAATTGCTCCCACAGTTGATTTCTTCAAACCAAGCTGCTTACCTATTGCAGATTCAGTCTTCCCAGCCTGGTGCAGGTCTACAAATTTGTTTCTGGTGTTCATTGACAGCTCTTTGGTCTTGGCCATAGTGGAGTTTGGAGTGTGACTGTTTGAGGTTGTGGACAGGTGTCTTTTATACTGATAACAAGTTCAAACAGGTGCCATTAATACAGGTAACGAGTGGAGGACAGAGGAGCCTCTTAAAGAAGAAGTTACAGGTCTGTGAGAGCCAGAAATCTTGCTTGTTTGTAGGTGACCAAATACTTATTTTCCACCATCATTTGCAAATAAATTCATAAAAAATCCTACAATGTGATTTTCTGGAGAAAAAAAATCTCAATTTGCCTGTCATAGTTGACGTATACCTATGATGAAAATTACAGGCCTCTCTCATCTTTTTAAGTGGGAGAACTTTCACAATTGGTGGCTGACTAAATACTTTTTTTCCCCACTGTATGTGAATTCCTCAAACAAAAGGAGTAGGGTTATGACTGGTCTTAGTATTTGTATTGAAGTTAAATGGTATTTGAATTGTAGGTAGGTTCAACACCTGGCATTTACTCATGAGTGTACTTTGGGAGGAGATGTAGTTTACAATGACTGTAAACCTGTGCATAGATCCCTTTCCTGGAGTCAAATGACCTGATCGCCCGAGTGGCCTCATGGGTGGAATGTTATTAATAATGTTAATAATTTCATAATTAATCAACATTATTTTTAAAACAAACGCTGAAAATCCGGTGTTTCTATGTCAAACGGTTTTGTTATATTTCAGTCTTCTGTGGTATATAAAGTGTAATACTTGGATGCACCCCAGTTAACAATTGATTGTGGTTGTTGCAACAGTTGAACCAGTGTATTGCACCCTGCAGGTAAGCAGGCAGTTATGGCCTTTTTCATATTCAAATACAAACATCCCCCTCTGAGCGGGAAGCATGATAGGTGCGTGTGGCCTGGGAGTGTTTGTGAGGGTGTGTAAAGTAATCTTTGTGTCATGGAACGCAAACACAATACTGCTACACAGTTCATGCGGTAACTAGCAAATTGCAACTGAACATTTACTGTGCTTCCTTTTTGTCTCATCTCAAAAACACGTGGTAGGGTAAAGGAGGGTGGGGTATTTCTGCTCTGTGGGATCGCTGCTCCCTGAGCATCAGTGGAAGCAGCAGAGCTGGTGAGTACACATCTATTTTCTTCATTTTGAGTTGGAACTTACCATACAGGCATGGCCCACTGTAGGCTTCCATGACTAACTCTTACCACAACCAAACCCGAATATATCTCCACCCACCCCTAACTTTAACTGTAACCAACGTCAACAACGTGTTTAATTAACATAATTCCCTGAATGGAAACTAAAATAGTGGAAAAAGGTCAGCCCATCCCGGTTGGTTAGCAACAGTGTATATCTTCCCATTCCCCAGTGTGACATTGAATGAGGTTTGTGTCTTTCATTTCTCCATCTTGACATATCACATTACCTCCTACAACCCTAAAAGGTCAGAGAAACACTTGATAACACTTCTTTTGAATAGTCTGTAGAGCATCTACAGACTATCAGTAACATTTCAACTAACTATCCACTAACCCTAACCTTTATCCTAACCCTAAACATAACCCTTACCCTTACCCTAACCCTAACTTTAACCCTTACCTAACCCTTATTCTAAGCCCTAACCCTAACAGTAACCTTAGCCAGCAGTTGCTTGTCAACAGATAGTTTGTTGATAGTATGATCATCTGGAGAGCATCTACAGATGGACTATCCGGACTATCCAAATTAAGTGTGACCAAAAGAACAGAGGTTTAGCTAATCAGCAAGTTGTCAGCGTGACATTCATCTACACAATGTGCACGTATGCAAAAAAGAATCTCCTGAATCAGCCCTATAGCAGTGTAGATACCAGTAGTACTAGTATCACTACTTTTTCCCCATGTGAAACTACTGTTGATTTGCAGTACACTGTAGGCTAAACTTCTACCCACAGCTCTGGGAGACGTACATGTACCGGTATCAATCATTACCCAAAAAACCCTTTTCACTGCATTAGCATAGACAAGCATGTCACATATAATTGACAGTCTTGACACCCCTTTTATAACCCAAACAGCATATTTATATGATTTATAAGACGCAAATACAACACTGACCAAATAAAAAAAGGAGAATGGCCTTTTAAAACGTCCCCCTCGCTGACATGCCTTGTATTATACAACAGTACATGTTTGTTTAACTTTCAGAGCTGTAGGGCAAAGTTCCTTCCTCCAGAAAAATACTTTCCTCCTGTTTTTAAAGCACTAAAGTCAAAGGACAAAAATCTTAGCATTTTGAGATGTGTAGTATAGCAGCCAGTATCATTATTATGAGTATTATTACTAAGTCTTCCAGTGAATACTGTAAACAACATGGTTAATCTAGCCCAGCAAGACTTTGGTACTTTCCACTTTCCGCCTCATACATAGTAGAGTGCCAGAGCGAGCAGGCAGGGACTTTCCATGCTGAGCCTTAATGAGACACAGGCATTCTGTTTCAAACAGAAAGTTCACAATCTGTGTCCAATGAGGCACCTAGTAACTGTAGGTTCACTGTTGAAGTCCTTACTATACCTCATATTCTTTGATGCAACCTGTCCAAGAGCATCCCTCATTGATACATTTGGCAGGCAGGCTGGCGATTTCTCTACCAGCTGCATTGTCTGGAAAAGCCTTTGGGGGGGGGGGGCAAGAACAAAGGGGGGGGGGGGGGGACAAGAACAAAGAGGGGGGGGGACAAGAACAAAGAGTACTGTAATTACATAGCTGTCTGGTTCACTGTGAGCTGTCCAGACAATGTGGGGTGTGGTTGAAGGATGTGGTTGGCGCCTCGTGAAGAGGGCATCTGGCAAACTACCTAAGTAGGGAAATGTACTACATGGTTCACTTCTCCCCCCTCAAGTTTCATTTTCTCCCTCAAGCTTTGAACTGTAATGAATAGGAATCTTGTGAATGAAAACATGATTCACCAGAGATATTCTTAGAAGTCAAATGAATGGCACCAAGGCTTACCTCATTGCTATTGAGAATGGACTGGGGCTCCTCGTATATCTCCTCTTGTCGACAGGCTTCACAGGGCTTGGGTCCAGAGCTGATGATGGAGACATACGTCATGTGATTTTACAGTTAAAACATGATTTCAGTGGCTGGATAGAGGGCTCTTAATGCATTAGCCTCACCTGATCCACTACCAGCGTCTCTGATGATTACCAGTGGGCTATAAAGCACAGAGCTAAACTGGAAAGATGAATCATGTAACTATGTAGCATACGTAGCGCTTTGCAGAATACATGACACTTTTGTTGGGCAAGTCATGTCAAGTGTGGGATAAAATAGGTGATACTCAGATCTACAGCAAGACACTGTAATTATAGGTATTAACAACACTATAATTAGAGAGCACGGGCAAGACATACAAGGACAGGAGCATCAGCATGCAAGGCAACAAATATGCTAACACAAATTAAAAGGTTGAAGTTTATATCCACTGATTGGTTGAGTGAATTTAAACAGATGATAAGTGTGAAGGAGGAGTCAGACCACCAGTATACTGAAGAGGGTCATATATGGATATCATTTACACTCTAAATAGTTGCACTATGAGAGCTCCCTGTGTGGGGTGAGTGGGTTCAAACTAAACCGGCTAGGTTTTTAAATAGTACAATTCTTGGGTAGTCATAGATGACTACATGACTTCCTTGCATTTCAATATCAGCACAAAGAGGGCACTCGGAGTTCCAAGTATTTTATCTGAATTGTAGAGGCATGCACCAGACTGTGACAGTAAAGGTTCATAGTCAAACTTATGTTTCTCCTGACAAACAACTTAATAGCTGTACAGTATTTACAATTACCTTCCATGTACACCTTCACTTATTGCTTTCCCCAGTACAGATTCTATGTAGTCTGATCTCTGATAATGATGTCTTTACATTTCACAAGTCAGAAATGTCCGGTCTTGAACATACTCTGATAACTCACTGATAATCAGATGATAATCAGGACATCCTGTAACTACATAATGCTGATGCTCAACTCCACATTTTTGACTGGAGTTAGCAAATTAAATGGGCAAAAACATTGCTCTATCATTTGTGAATTATTTAAAGGACTAAAGGTGTGACAAAAAACTTTAAGATCACAGTTAAAAAGAAGGAGGCATCACAGAAGAAAAAGGTGCCCAAAGTTAAAAGAACACCAGTGTGTTAATGATCAGATTAACAAAACACAAATAATTAGGCAGTGTGAGATGGAGAGGAAAAAACATTCCCGGGGAGTAGAAATCTTTAGTAGTAATCAGCAAGAGCAGCCTGGTCCAGTTTTACCACCTCCAGAGCTAAAATCCATTCCAGATAATCCCAGTGGAGGCTGGACCTGCATTAGTGTTGATCATCTGACAGTGCTACCAGACTCCCACCGCAGACAGACACACTCAGTCTATGATGGCTCATCAAGTGGAAGGGTGAGATGCTGATGGGAGCCAAGGTAACAACAACAACACCACAGAGAGACACTGCACTGCTGCAACTACAGCAGGACAGGGTGGGGTGGAGCAGCATGCTCAGTGAGAATGGGTTTTTAAAGGTGTGGGAAAGAGCGAGGTTTGCAGAGCTGGGAGAGTGGCTGTGGTGAGATGATCCTGTAGTCTACCTGGTGAGCAGTTTCAAACAGTGGACACAGAAGCGATGTCCACACTGAGCCTGGACCGGCTTCCTCAGGACCTGGTGACACTGCTGGCATTGGTACTTAGTTTCCATGGAAACAGCCAGCACACTCTTGGGTATCCCTTGGAGGGAGGAGTCTAAAGAGGGCAGGGAGATGCGAGCCATGCTCCTCCATCAACTTCTGATACAGCTTCCTGTGTAAACAAACATCAAACACTATTATGAGCAGATGGATCAACTGCATGCATCCCCTACACCCTCCCCTCCCAGGCCACCACAAGTATAGGCTAGCTGCAGAACTCAAACAGTTCTGTTTATTCATTTGCAGCTGTTGCACGTGGGATGCATGCACAGTTGAGTTGTGCACCCCCCCTAACACATCCACAACCAACTTCTGCACATAGAAATTGGCTTACTTCAGCTAACTATCAATGCAATGCAAATAGCAAACTATGTAAAGCACTAACTCTTAAAACAGACACTTCTTTAACATATATTTCAAGAGTTCAGGTTGACAACTGATCTATTGCCTGTATTTCTGCCTTGAGTGCTGTTGCACCTCATTTGGCATGTTCCCTGGATACAAGCCGACACTTTTCTTGGTATATAACAAACTAGTACTTTGTGTGCCAACAAAACAGCAGTCAATCAATCTTTCCATTGACAAGACAAAGGCCTATACACTAAAAGCCAACTATGTTGTATGTGTTGTCTGAGCACATTCCAGTCATTCAACATTCTACCTCATACCAAAACAACAATACATACATGCAATGCCATGCAGCAGTAGCTACTTAGTAATCAACAGATAATTCTACAGGAGAGGCTTGGCAGGCCAACGTGCAGTATGGACAGATTGAAGCGTAATCCTTTTAGTCTCAGAGAGAAAGGATTCTCGTAATACTATCAAAGGGTAAAGTGAAGTCCCTTCAAGACAGCTTGTGAAAGAGAAATAAGATGTGAAAGAGGATGTATTGTGAAATGAAAAGGAGTTCTAGCTTGTCTGGTTGGAGTCTGGCATGAAACACAGCAGTGTTATCATTGGACAAAAATGCAAAGTAATGCAAACACTGATAACCTTTCTGATGCTGGCATAAGAATGGGTATCCATAATAAATACTTTTCCAACTGAATCAGCCATGTAAATCACGTGGCCTATACAGTATGCAAGACAGTGCAAAGGCTTAATTAAATACATTAGTTAGCCTATGTAGCTATCTCTTTCCCTTATTCTAAGATGGCTGGATCCACAAAATAAATGATTATATTTAGAGCACCCTGTTTGGACTGCAAGCAATGATCAGAGACTATGTGGGAATCACACCAGACCAGACACAATATAGCAAGCCAATAGATAAGCCTACCAGCTGCCAGTTGCGTAAAGTAGAATAAAGGCTATTGTAGAATGAATACACAGGGTCTGACTTGTGGGTTACTTTGTACAGAGGTAAGAATGAGAAAGCATTTATCAAAACTTGTGATCCTGCATGTGATAATTCATCATAATTCACATGTTTTGTCATATGACACAGCTGGGAAGAACTAGGCTAAATGTGATTTGTGATAAACAAAGAACTGTGATGACAAGTCCATGACTTGGCAATAAGGCACAACAGATTACAACCCTATTTCATACAATATACCAGTGGCGACCCGCCATTAAGGGCAGGTGGGGCTCTTGTTATTAGCTAAAGAAAAATATTCATGTCACAAATCAGTTTGCAAACAATGTTAAAAAATAATAATCATTAAGTTAATAAAGCCGCATACAAACATGGTCTCATTCTGAAGTATGGCAGCTCCAAAATGCAGGTGTGCTTTCTGTGGTGGAGGGGCAGCCAGCGAAATACAGAGCGTAGGCGTTGGTAATCTTCTCTAGTTGCGCCATGATTGGCTCAGTGTTCTGTCACTCATGGGGACACTATGTCACCGCAGAATCTACAGGGAGAGCTAGGCTGTTCAAACTCCCTTGGATGCTGCCATAGATTTACAATTGAAGTGCCCATCCAAGAAGGCCCAAGGTCATTGGCCACAGATAGAATGACGTCAAATCACATAATAGCTACCATAGCTTTGATTGGACTGATCATGTCAACATCATACTTTCAAAATCTTAGCTAGCAAGCTAGCTAGCTAGACAAGCAGTCATCATCATGAATCACATCAACATTCTACTGGCAAATCCTTTTCAATCCTTGTCATATGTAGAGAAAACATGTCGGTGCTCATCGGCCATTGGACATAAACATTACACAACATGTCGGAAATAGCAAATTCAACAATGAGTGGTTTGGAAGGAATAAGTGATTAACTGCGAGTGTCGCAAAGCAATCCCCATTTTGCTTCCCCTGTCTGCTATTCGATGGAGAGGGTGTGTGGTCCAAGTCTGGGTTCAAGGATTTGAAACATCTGTCTGAAAGGGCCTCTTTTCCAAGCTTAAAAGGATAAACATTCACACACAACACCATCAGCCAGAAAAGGTTGAATAGATTGGCCATGCTGTCAATCCAGCATGACTTCTGCCGCGTTCAAAACAACTGGAAACTCGGAAATCTCAGACTTCAGTGCGTTCAAGACAACTGGGAACTCTGAAAAAAAAACGAGCTCCAACTGGGATAATACATTTTGAACGGTCCTGACATTTAATCCTAGTAAAAAATCCCAGTTTTAGGATCAAAAGTCAAGCCATTGTTTATCAGGAAAATATGTAAACCGGGGGGGGGGGTATCCAGGAGGGGATACTATATAATGTTGTTGGGTCTGTAACCATGTTTGCCAGTGACAGCCTCTTCCCTTTCAAATATATTTTTTCAACAAAACGTTCAGCAATAGACCCAATTCCAGTTGCCATTGCGAGGGTTGTTTTGTTTGCGCAATGCGCTGTCTGTGCTTGTTTTATTGTCTATAAAAGTGGATCCTCATGGATTGTATTTTCCTTCCTTTTTAGACTACATATTCCTAATAAAATACTTCAAACCGTGTCTCTCTCTCTCCCCCTCTCGCTCGCTCTCTGTGTGTGGTAACTTCAAGAACTGTAAAGTTAAGGCCTCAAAATCTTGCTGAATTTATCTGAACTAACATCTCTGAATTTCTGTTGGTGTCCATTTTGAAAGTGCTGAACGAATAGGCCTACCTCGTCGCAGCTCGGTTGCTTGCACTTGCTTATACTTAGAGCTAAGTGTTAATGATATAAGAACAAACATTATGAATTTACTGAACATACAGTGGGGAAAAAGTATTTAGTCAGCCACCAATTGTGCAAGTTCTCCCACTTAAAAAGATGAGAGAGGCCTGTAATTTTCATCATAAGTACACGTCAACTATGACAGACAAATTGAGAAAAAGAAATCCAGAAAATCACATTGTAGGATTTTTAATGAATTTATTTGCAAATGATGGTGGAAAATAAGTATTTGGTCACCTACAAAAAAGCAAGATTTCTGGCTCTCACAGACCTGTAACTTCTTCTTTAAGAGGCTCCTCTGTCCTCCACTCGTTACCTGTATTAATGGCACCTGTTTGAACTTGTTATCAGTATAAAAGACACCTGTCCACAACCTCAAACAGTCACACTCCAAACTCCACTATGGCCAAGACCAAAGAGCTGTCAATGGACACCAGAAACAAAATTGTAGACCTGCACCAGGCTGGGAAGACTGAATCTGCAATAGGTAAGCAGCTTGGTTTGAAGAAATAAACTGTGGGAGCAATTATTAGGAAATGGAAGACATACAAGACCACTGATAATCTCCCTCGATCTGGGGCTCCACGCAAGATCTCACCCCGTGGGGTCAAAATGATCACAAGGGGGGACCTAGTGAATGACCTGCAGAGAGCTGGGACCAAAGTAACAAAGCCTACCATCAGTAACACACTACGCCGCCAGGGACTCAAATCCTGCAGTGCAAGACGTGTCCCCCTGCTTAAGCCAGTACATGTCCAGGCCCGTCTGAAGTTTGCTAGAGTGCATTTGGATGATCCAGAAGAGGATTGGGAGAATGTCATATGGTAAGATGAAACCAAAATAGAACTTTTTGGTAAAAACTCAACTCGTCGTGTTTGGAGGACAAAGAATGCTGAGTTGCATCCAAAGAACACCATACCTACTGTGAAGCATGGGGGTGGAAATATCATGCTTTGGGGCTGTTTTTCTGCAAATGGACCAGGACGACTGATCCGTGTAAAGGAAAGAATGAATGGGGCCATGTATCGTGAGATTTTGAGTGAAAACCTCCTTCCATCAGCAAGGGCATTGAAGATGAAACATGGCTGGTTCTTTCAGCATGACAATGATCCCAAACACACCGCCCGGGCAACGAAGGAGTGGCTTCGTATGAAGCATTTCAAGGTCCTGGAGTGGCCTAGCCAGTCTCCAGATCTCAACCCCATAGAAAATCTTTGGAGGGAGTTGAAAGTCCGTGTTGCCCAGCGACAGCCCCAAAACATCACTGCTCTAGAGGAGATCTGCATGGAGGAATGGGCCAAAATACCAGCAACAGTGTGTGAAAACCTTGAAGACTTACAGAAAACGTTTGACCTGTGTCATTGCCAACAAAGGGTATATACCAAAGTATTGAGAAACTTTTGTCATTGACCAAATACTTATTTTCCACCATAATTTGCAAATAAATTCATTACAAATCCTACAATGTGATTTTCTGGATTTTTATTTCTCATTTTGTCTGTCATAGTTGACGTGTACCTATGATGAAAATTACAGGCCTCTCTCATCTTTTTAAGTGGGAGAACTTGCACAATTGGTGGCTGACTAAATACTTTTTTTCCCCACTGTAAATGTAATAATGTGTGTATGGTTCAAAACTCATGTCGGCATTCGTTATTATTGAAGGAGAATGCGGTTTTTAACGAGATACACAAATCCACAAGGAGTCAGTAGAAACCATATTTATTTAAGCAAGTCAGCCACATCAGCTATGGTTTTTTAAAAGGCAGTAAATGAGGCTGAATAAACTGTTTAGCTGCCAGACGAGGCTCCGCTGATAGCCAGGTGTAGCGGTGGTAAGGATTCACTCCATAGTGCTGAAAGGAAAGCTACGCTGTTGAGACAGCTTTATGTATGCCCTAACAGTTTGTGGGTACCATTTGTCACCGTTATAGTGCAATGAATGTATTGTTTAGTGTTGTTGTGTAGTGGCTTTGCTGGCATGCATCTATAAAAATTAGGTGAGTTTGCA